TCTCCCCGTCGTCAAGGTACAACCGCCCCGCCGCTTTACCTTGCGCATCTGGGGCCACGAGCACGAAAAAGTCCTCGTTGCGCAGCGCCTTTGTGGTATTCGCGCTGTTGACACGGTGCGGGATTACGCTTCCGCCGCGGATATGCACGGGGATGTCGCTGTAGGTTAGGTTACTGACTGTGACGTTTTGGCCCTGGCCCTGCACTTTGCCGTAGGTCCAGTAGTCGTAGAAGACGTCGTTGGGCAGGTAGAACGTGACTTTGTCGGAGTAATCGACTGTCACGGGCGAGATGAGGAGGGCGTCGCCGTAGAACCATTGTTCTTGGATGTCGAAAGTCTTTTCGTCTTCCGGGTAGAGGAAGAAGAGCGGATTGATCATTGGCGTGCCGTCTTGGGTTTGGTAGTAGAGGGCGGTGTAGATGTAGTCCATGAGTTTGTAGCGGGTTTCGATTGCCTTCTTTGCGGCGGTGGCGACAATGGGCCATTGGTAGAATTCTTGCTGGATGGTGCTGAGTTCGGCGTGGTTGCGGTAGAAGGGCTGGAAGGCGCCCAATACGGCCCAGCGTGCGCACATGTATTGGTCTGCGTTGCCGTTGAAGCCGCACACGTCGGAGCCTACCATGGGCATCTGGTGCATGGAGACGAAGGACAGCATCTGGCGGATAGAGGTGCGGTAGTGCTCCCAGATGGAGGCATTGTCACCGAACCAATGTGCTACCTTGCGGCCAATTCCCGAGAATGTGGAGCGGGAGAGGACAAAGGGACGGACCTTGGGACGGCGGGCGAGCATGGATTCGTGGGTCGCAGAAGCCATCATGCTGCCGTACAGGTTGTGCGTGTCGTACTGCCAGGTTCCATCGTAGTTTGTCGTGTTCATTGCAATGGTCTGCTGCGAGATCTTACCGAGATGGCTGTTGACGCGGTAAGCAGGGTCAAACCAGTTGCGGTCTGGGAAACCCTTCATGCTGCCGTTGGCAGATTGACGTGGAGCAATGACACTAGCGGATTGGCGCTTCTTCAAGCCAGCGGAAGATTCGCGAGAAAGAAGGTATTTTGAATCACGAGCCTTAACTGAGCTATTACCGGAAGAAGGCTGGAATGACGCTGGGAAGCCAGGAATAGGGCGACCAGTGTTTGGGCGAGGAGCATTTCCAGGCTTTGGTGGAATACCGTCGTCAATAGCCTTTTGCCGGGGGTTGCAAGTCTGAGGGTCCTGACAAAAGTTGGACGCCTCGTTCATGTCGACCCAGAGTCCGTCGAGATTAATACCGCTATCAGCATCGAACTGCTTGAGAATTTCTTGCGTCCACCACTCCTGGGTGTTGGGTGCGAACCAATCGGGCCATGCGACTTCTCCGGGCCATTGGACACCAAGGAGATCAGTACCATCAGCAGCCTTGAGGAAAACCTCCATTTCGTGGCCCTTCTCGTAAGGCTCGTAGTTGCCGACTGCATGAACCCCAGGATCCAAGATCAGTACGTACTTCTGATCGCGCGAGTGAAGAGTTGATACCAATTCACGCATCTTTGAGAGCGGGAAACGTTCAGGATCGGTTGTGAAGTCTTCGCGAAGATGCATGTAGTCGATATCGGTCCACATGACTTCAAGAGGAATACCAGCAGTGGAGTAGTTGGCAACGACTTCCGCAACCATGTTGACGTCCCAGTATCCGTACTTGCACTGGTGGAAACCAAGAGTCCAGTATGGGTACATTGCAGAGTAGCCGGCAACGTCAGCGTATTGCTTGGAAACCTCGGCGGGCTTGCTGCCAGCCATGAAGTACAAATCGATGACTCCACCAACGGTGTTATACTCTAGGTACTGGTAACCGCTGTCGGCCTTTTTAATATCCACTTGCATGGGACTCGAGTTGAGCATAAAGACACCATGAGTACCTTTGCCACCACGGTGGTCAAAATACACTGGGTGAGAGCCATACAGATTGGCGTTGGTGGGAATGTTAATAGACTCGCCGTTCAAAAACACACGCTCATACTTATCCGTGTGGAAGCGGAATGAATCGCTGTGCTCACCGAGGCCGTAGATGTTGGGGTTGTCGGGGAGCTTGGTCCGAAGGCGCACGTACTGTTTCTCGAATACCAGGGGGACGGTTTCAGTATCAAAAAGAACTTCACCGCCATCCCTGCGCTTTACTGTAAAAGAAAAAGGACTTTCCTTAACGTCGAATTGGAGGGCTGTGCTGTCCGTTGATGCCTTCTCATGCTTTGGCCGAGGGAAGACTTGTTCTTGGACTTGGAAAACCTGAAGGTCGGCATCGTAAATTTTGACGTGTAGACGCTCATCTGATCGTTTTTTAGTATGAATGGCGACTTGATATAGCAGCAGAACAGCGAAGACTTACTATTTTGGTACTCGACGAGCAACTTTAGATTCTTAATATCATCGCTGTACGCATTGCAGGCGTCACCAGCGAGAGTGAGGTCGGCCGTCAAAGTAGAATCTTTTTCAACAACATTCGAGGCAGTATAGCCAGGGCAGCTATCCACTTCGGCGCGGCGGGTGAGAGTGGCAGCGAGGTCAGTGGCCTCGTGCACTAGAGGAGCCGCATTGGTGAAGCTCGAGCAGGCGGCAAGCCCGAGCAAAATATGGCGTATCATCTTAGTCAACTAGCAGTGTTCACCAAGAGTTGAGAGCCGGTTGTGGGGAAAGAAGAAGAAGACCAGAGCAAGGCCGTTCACCCAAGGACTATATAATGAAAGGAAAGCTTGGAAGTGAAGGCGCTTAAGTCACCGTTTACTATAACGGCAAAGGGTAATAAGTGAACAAGGATGCGACTGAGACCTCTTGTCCACCGCTTGACCCACATCATACTGGCTTGGGCCTGCACCCAAGAAAGACCACATGATGCTTTTCCGGGGAAGGAAGCTCATGCTAGGTCACAAAATGACAGCATACCGAAAGAGAAGAAAGGAAAACAGAAAAGGGGGTTTGTTTTGCCTCCCATCATCTCCGAATGTATAGGCCAACGGTTGCCGTGGAACACACACGCGCAGCATATAACTGCGTACCTTGCGCGTTTTTCCCCCGACCCATAGAATACTACCAAGCAAACCAATATTACTTGCTATGAGCGGCCAGCGCGTAGATGAAACAAAACAAAATTTGATGTATGGGTACTAGTCGCGGACTAGACATGGGGTTAACTAGGGAATCTCGACTACGATCCGGGGTGAGAGGCTTTACTACAGTTACATCAGATGGGTCTTTGCCCGTTCTGGGAATGTATCGGCGTGCGTTTTAATGCCAGCACACATGGTTGTCTTCCAATCAACAGCCATGTCACAAGGGGCAAGAGATTCCATCAGGGGATCGACATGGAAGCGTCGGCGCCTTGGCTGGGGGACGAAAATACACGACATCGGATCAAGGTCCAGGGGGACTAACAGATGATTACGATTACATACGCGAAGATCAAAACTGCGCAGGCAACTGTATGTCGGGTGTCCCCGAGGGCCCCCTTCGTTTGCATTTTCAGACATCGTGAGGTGTCTTCGTGACGTTTGAGGGGGAATCTGGGCAGATCAGACGCAAGGTTCGCGTGAACGGCCTGTCTCCACTGTTCCTGCGCTAATCATCCTAGCAACATGCGGGGGGCCGAGTCACATGCCACCCTCTCAACAGACTAGAAGGCCAACGGGGGCGGTAGCAATCTTCTCTCTTGTCCACTCTGCTTGTTCCGCTTTACATTCTTCGTTTGCTCACCTTGGGACCTGCTACTATCGGAACATATGTGCGTGACTAGTCACTGGAAGAGAAAGTGTAAGATGTAATAGGGCTGGCCCGACCGCGCCCTTGGGCATCATTCACATGCCGTCATCAGCTCCACCACCCCCTCGTCCTTGCATTGCCTTCCTTTCTCCACCGCCTCGCCGCCTTTCCCGTGTCGGTGCGCCCGGAATCAAACGTCCAAAAGGAAAATAGACGTTATGTATACACAGGAGAGACAAAAAACACATCTTTGAACACGTAAGTTATCGATACGCACTGTCGTGAGTTGAACCACGCCAAAGGGTACGTATCTAGGTACAACAAACAATAGTACATGCCGGTAGTAGCAAACCCGAGCAAAAACAAAAAATGGCAAGGCTTAACCACAAGACTTTTTTGGCTCAAAGAAAACAAACAAAACACAGACCACCCACGTGCCCACCTTCTGCATAGATGGGGCAGGCGACAGTCAAGTCACGGAAAAGACGGTGTCCTTGCGGGCACTTGGGGTTAACTATGTAAGAAGTGGGCATGAGCATGTGCCAAGCTTACCTTGTCCATGTGTCTCTCCCCAAGGACCAACCTTGAACTACCACCCATACACACACTCCTCAACGCCCCAGTCCGTTTTTAGTCACGAAAGGCCCTACTACTAGTTATATACCGGACCGACCTTTTTTTTGCCCTCATCTACCCTGAGGTGGTCCCTTTTCCATTGCGAATTCTTTTCGTGTATGGGTGTGTTTAGATCATTATGCTCTAAAATTGATCTTGTCCCATGACTTGGGTATCTTTCCCTTCCTGGTGATTTGATTCGCTGCTAAGAAGTTTAGTCTGGGTGGAGTTTTTTTTTCAAACTTGGGACGCTTGACTGCTGTGTGCATGCGTAGGGCCGTTGGGAGTTTGTTACTAGTTGCGGGAAGAGAAAGTCCCGGGTTGCGGAGTCTGAACGCTATTTGCTTCCGCGGAATCGTGTTTTTGTGATCGCGATCTTGATGTGAAGCCAGGCTGCGAAGTCGCTTTCTCGGTGTTGTGATAATTGTTCAAAGTTGGAGCTATTTGAGGCCAAAGTTGTGGGTCAGCTTTTAATAACAGAAGCATACATGTAAAGGATGACTGATGTTCAGAAAAGACTTTTGGATTGGGATCACACCAAGCTACTCAAGTCAGCGAGCCTGCTAAGATGAAATACCGAAGCATCAAGTATTCATATGAGAAGGCTAAGCTATGTGGTATGTTTGAGAATGAATAAACCACTCACGCATTACCAAAAGGCCGTTGTGCTCTCCCAAAAAGCATACCACGTGTGACCCAAAACGCCCACGCCATGCCACCCACTCGATTTCCCAAAACTATCATAGCCCAAGATGCACTTGGTGCCTTATTTGTACTCCTTGCACCTTTCCAGACTCTCGCACACAGGGCCCTTCAAAATCCTTGATGCCTCAGCGACCAACTCGTGCAGATCCTTACGGAAACGCTGACCTTCTGGCGTATCATGCTCTTTACTATGCTTCTGTTGCTGAAAAGCATCCCGAATAATTTTGAGGATGCCAATCATTTCTTTGCAGAGCTCAGTGCATGTACTAATGATGATTTTCTTGACGTCTGCTTCGGTCCGTTCGGCAATGTTAGGAAAAACACCTTGGAGGCCAAGGATTTCTTCTTTGAGATATGCATGGCGGACATCTTTGAGCTTCTGGCGTTTTCCGGGTTTTTGCAGCTCGGCCTGTACATAGATGGACTCCATTTCTCTATGCATGTATCCTTTTTCGGTAGGCTTGATGGCTTTGCCGAATACTTCGATGAGACCTTGGCGAAGCTTCGTCGTGGCGGCTTCGACCATGAGTGTAATGCTTTTTTCATGATCAAGGACATTGTTGCCGAAGCAGATCTTATACGCATCTCCGACTAGGGCCTGTGGATCATCTAGGGTAGGCATGTGCATTAGCATGGTTAGCGAATACGGCGGGACAAAATACCTTTCAATTGCCTGTTTAGTTCACGGAAGCTCGTCTTGATGGTTTGCGCCGCCTGAGCTTTGAATGAAGAAGGTGCGTCTTCAATTACTTTCCGAAAGGGTCTGTCGATATCGGACACTACAGATGATAGTAGTGCAGCGTTCAAATCCCAGTTGATGCCCAGCTTCTTCTGACAATATTTCCCTGGCATTCGTTAGCGGACGCTTCGCAAATATGATACAAGAATGGCGTACCTTGCTTTTTGACTAGGGCTCTATGCGAAGCAGCATTCTGTGACAGTGAGCAACAAATCATTTTTAGGAACACCCAATGCTTACCATCTTTTCAAGCTCTTCGAGTATCCTCTCAGCCTTCCTATCGAACTTGTCCTACAACTCACGGCTTGACAGATCGGACAAAAGATCTTTAAAGAACGTGTTAAAGCACTTTTTTGCCATGTTTCCGATAGGTAGACGAATGTCCTATTATCAGTTAGTAAATGTACATGCTAATGCTGCTGCCCGTCCTTGGTTTCATGTGAGCACACAAGTCTAGTTCACATTCTTCCACCCAGTTAGTTGTTCAGATATGGTAACTGAATAACTTACCTTGATGGTTTGGTCCAGGATCTTGGTTATATGCTCTACTCGGGCTTCTGTGCTCTTGCTACAGCTCATCTGGAAGATACTTAGCAGCATGGGGATTTTGAACTGAATGAAGTTTTCTAGAACGGCGACTTTTCCCTGGGAAGGCTGTCCAGCAATGTGATTAAAAAGCGCCAGGACTTGCGTATCTTCCAACTTCATAGACGGAACCTTGTCATGGTTCGCGGTGTTGTATCCTCGGCGGTACCGCATGTACATGCGGTTAGAAACACAAAAAGATGCAGCACCCGCATCGTCGCCAGTATTTTGACTGTACATCCGGTTCAGACCCGTAGCAACAAACCTGCTACGGCAGCCGATCCGAATGTCTCTACGTTCTTTCTCCAAGGAAACAATACATGTCTTCAACTCCTTTTTGCGTGTAACCAGGTCCTTGTTGGTGGCGCGCAAGACCTCCTTCGAGCGATCGTCTTCGGTGACAGAGCTTTGATTGCCGACACTTCTGATGCGCTTGATGTTGTTTTTGTTGGTCTCAACGTCATTTTCGATGATCTGAGCCTTACCGGTGAGTTCACTTATCTTTTCCTCGATAGGGGCAAGCTGTTCTTCCGCTATGGCATCCGGTTGCAGTGTACTGCCACCGTCATCATTCATTTCCTGTGATATCAATTAACAACTGGGCAGAAAATATGCCCTGGAGAACTTACATCAGATCTTGTAGCCACAAGAATGACACTACCATGGTGTCGCCTACGGTGCGCATCCAGATAGTGCTGTCGAAAAGATTGGTCGCTCGTGGCCCGCTTGATGTCGACAACTACAATCGTCTTTTCGCACTGCTGCAAATAATCTTCTGCGGCCGCAACGCGGTATACGTTGATGTCTTTTGCGCCCGGTACATCGGCCAAGCAGATTCCATCCTGTAGCAGGGGGCTGTCGACATAGTACCTGATAATCTCCACAAATGGCCATGGGCTGAAAGAAAGCGGTTTCCCATTGAAACGCGCGTTTGGTGCTTTCATTCGGAAAGGGCGAAGCTGTTCGCGCATGTCGCTGTGAGTGCTGGACGTGAGAAGGACAAAGAGCTCGCCATCCCGAACAAACTGCTCGTGTATTTCAACGGTCCATTTCACGAGCTGTAAGAGTACTGAACTGTCCTTCGAAGATTTGCTTGCAGACATGAAGTCATCGAGGGATACAGGTGCGACATGGTGAGCGAAGAGATGGTTCAAGCAATCCAGAGCAGCGTCTTTGCGTGCCCGATCGTCGTCGACGTCCTCTTCATCTCTCATCATTCGCTGTTGGGTACTAAACCATTGCTTGAACCAAGTAGTTACGAGGTTTTCAATGCAGTATTCGAGGCAGTAGATTTTATCTCTGCTTGAACTGCACCCATGTTGTTGGAGAGTTTCTTCTGACGGAACTCTGTTACCACATTGGTGCAGGCACTGCCACTATCACCCTGCGTTATCGTCAGTTAAACAATTTAAGCAGTAACCTGGAATCAAACTTACTTCTGGCGTCAGGTCGTCACCCAGCAAAGCATTCGTAGTTGCAGACTTCCCAGATCCTGTATCTCCCGTTACTGCAAACCGAATCTCTTTCTGGTAGGAAATAATGCAATTTTTAACAGCTTGTGAATGAAGATAAGCAGCCTCTCCGCCACCAATACCCTGATTCGTAGCATCTCCCAAGAAGTCTTTGAATACTCGCAAGATACTCTGAACATCATGTTCTGACTTTTGAAATCCTGGATGGTAGATGGGTAGCTTTGGACGGCGCTGTTGAGTTAGGTCAAGCGGAGGTACTACTGTATATTTTTCATCGTTGCTATCGTTATCTTCATCTTCACTATCAATCGAGATCTCAGATGCTGGGAAGTATTAGTCCTTAATTTAATTTGGGTATGCACTGCTATAGTCGTATACCTGAACGCTTAGCGGGTAGCACAGATCCTATAGCGCTAGAATCCCAGCTAGCAATAGCAGATCTAATGCTTGCCTCAATAGATCTGAGTCTATTAAGATAGGCTGTCGTGAGGTTTGGGATCATAGCTGCTTCTGGAGCAACTGATACTAAACGCTCAGGTTCCAATAGAGGACTCTGCGGGCCATCCGGCACGCATTGTTGCAGGTTATTGTCGTCATCTTCCATCGTGGTCACTAAAGTTTGAGACAGCAGAACGATGGAAAAAGAGTTTAGGAGGGAAAAGGTTTGATGGAGCTTCAGCAGTTATAGATCGCTTTCAAGTGAGAGAGCAAGCCTCAGACTAGAAGCCACTACAACAGCGAGGTGAGAGACCGGGGAGCCATGGTATGAAGTTAATGGGTGTAGGTAGTGTACTATATGACTTCTATCGGCTCTCACCTGTCCTTTCAAGCTAGGGTATGTAGATAAAGGTACAATCAGTCCAAGGTGCTTGAATATAGTCAGACTAGCAGGAATTGTAGTCATTTCCATGCCCTTCGTCTTCAACATCATTTCGCTGTCAATAGGAAAACCTGTTTCAATGGTAGATATGACACCAGGGTGGTGACTGTCAGGAAAAGATTGTTGTCGTGCTCACCTTCCCGAACCGAGAGAAGCACTGCTTATGTCAGCGGTAAAAGCCGGTGCGACTGTGACTGTCGGGCGTTACGAGGTCCTGCCTGCCAGCTATCACTTTTTTTTGGAACAACTGAAAAACTACTGGCATTTCAGACAATCGAATACGAAGCGTGATCAAGGCCAAGATGCGGGGTCCCCACATGGCGTACTTGTAGCTGGTGAGCAGGTTGATTTGCGCATGTACGCCTTGAAAATACATAAGTTTCGGGCTCCTGCATGTCAAGGCAGAGTTTCCTACCGCTCCACTTGGCCATCGGGCGTCTTTGGTCCGCAATTCATGGCGGAGGATCGTGAGGCATCAAAGCGAGGGATCAAAAGGGCAAGAACACGGCATGGGTCAGTGCTGCACAGAAGCAATAGAATCAACTACAACGTACTGACTTGGTCTCCAGATGTTTGAACTGCAAGATTAGGAGGCGCAAGTGCGATGAATTGAAGCCAACATGCTCGCGTTGTGCTGCTAAGAACGACAAATGCGAATGGGCTTCTCGCCTCACCTTCCGAGCCGAGAATGCGTTAGCAATTCATCCATCACTATTGCATCAGCCCCCGGGATTTCCGCCTAAGCGTTTCAGGATTAAAAATGTTACTGCAGAAGTCATGCGGGACTACCAGTGTGACAAGCCAGGAGATGGGCCCGACGCTTGCGATCAGTCTGATAACCAGCGGGGTAATTGTTACAGCGATCCCTCACCTACCACGATCGATGAACGGAGCGTTTCATTTCAAAATGGCTCGTGCTGGGGGAAAAACACATCTTATACGAACGCTGAGGGCATCCCGAGTCAGGCTCGACCCCAAGGATACGTACCCATATTTGTTTCTGCAGATACAAATGTGACATGGAACAGTCCGGCAATTGCCGCACGCCCAGACAACACAATCTTTCTTCCGGGATCTGCATACCTGAACGCTCATGCCGCATTCAGAAGTCACCTAAAACAAAATGCACGATTCAGTGATCATACCCCAGAAGCCTCGCATGACTCTTCAAGGGACACTCATATATGGTCTGTAGACACCGATTTCGATACAGTGGTAAAAAGACGCACCACACAACTCCCATTTGACCCTGTCATTGGTGGGGAACCGAGCCCTACTCAATTATCAGTGTTCCAGCTATCAACTGAGGAAGAGTTTGAGTTGTGGAAGAATTGGCTTGATGAAATAGCGCCTTGGATTGACAAGTTCGATGGTGAACGCCATTTCCAACACCAACTTCCTATATTGGCACGTTCCCACGAGCACCTGAAGTACTCAATACTAGCGGTATCAGCGCGACAGCTTGAGGTCAAGAACAATAGCATACACACCGAGCGCAGCCTAGCTTTATACCAAACAGCCATCCAACTTGTCTTACCGCATCTACATACACGCAGCACGGCAGTGATAGCAACATGCGTAGTATTATGCGTGCTAGAGATGCAAAGCAGTTCGTCCAAGGCGTGGCATCAGCATTTGGATGGCTGTGCACATTTGATTGAAGCAGTTGGAATCCATGGCTTCTCTGGTGGCCTCGAACAAGCCTTGTTCTGGTGCTTCGCCCGTATGGATGTATGTGGCGGACTTATCTCATCATCCAAAACGCTTATACCCGTTGAGCGCTGGGCCTTGGGCATGAGTCTTGACGCTGATGTGCATCTCTTTCGAGCGAACAAAGGATACAACACTCACGCATGTGAAGTGGTATACTTGTGTGCACAAATACTCGACTTGCTCTCCTTCCACCCAAACCTGGCCGGGCGCGCTGGTGTCTCACTCGATACATTAGAGATTCGAGACGAAGCTTACATGGCTCGGTGGATGAAGCTTTGGAACCACATTTCTGAATGGCATACTATGCGTCCGGCAGAGATGCTCCCTATAACATCTCTCACAAACCCTGCATGGCCATTTCCCAAGATCCTGTATAGCAACCCTGCCGCCATCTCGGGGAATCAACTTTACCATACAGCATGCCTTCTAATGCTTAAGCACAAGCCTGCGGGGGTCTCTATCATGCCTAAGCCGAACTCTATTTTCTGGCATGCGCGTCAGATCTGCGGGATATCGATGAGCAATGACCACCACGGTGCGTGGACCAATGCGATACAGCCGCTGTGGATCGCGGGCCAATGGATGAGTCACGAGAGCGAGCACAAGGCTATCTTGCAGCTGCTGGAAAAGATTGAAGTACAGTCGGGGTGGAGTACAAAGTGGCGGGCAGAATACTTAAGAGAGTTCTGGGATTAGCAAAGCACCGTCGTTGTCTTTACTTTTGCATATGATTTGTTCTCCTATGCAGTGAGTATAGTGCTAATTGATACGATTCAATATGAGTTCGCGTGTGTACGTAGTCGTTTGTTGGAACGCGTAACTACCAGCGAAGATGTGGTGTTATAATGGTGTTGATGGCAGAGACAGACGCGTCGCCATGAGTGATAGTAATGACGGCACCAATGCACGGACGATCTCGGAGGTAACAGCGGCGATGCTGACTATCGCTTGCTGCTCCATCACGACCGTCGCCGCTGGAGACACGTAGAAAGCGGTCGAAGTCGATTCCAATCCGAATCTTCTCGTCCTGCCACTTGCATTCCTTCTTCGCCTGCATTCTCGCTGTCACGCATGGGTTATACTACCCGATCAACACCACGCATTGTTGCCTACGCTTTCCTTGTCGGCTTTCCCGTTTAACACTGTACACTCACCTATAGATCCACGACTAATCCTACACCCTTCCCGCAGCCTGTTTGCCACTTTCTGCGATTGCACACTACCTGGAAGCAAATTCAACAGCACACGCTCTTCATTCACCGATTCCATCTACCCTCCTCGACCCATTTGGGCGCCCCGCCACCATGTTCACGAGCTTCACGGGAAACCCGCGTCGGGCGCGACAAGTCAATCTCAGTGGAAAGAAAACCAATCCCTTCGGCCCCCCAGGCTCCGGCGCCGGATCACAAGCCGCCCTCGACCGAGCACAGCAAGACCGAGCACAACGGCAGCGGGAACGAGATACATTAAATGCCGCCAAGCGAATACAAAGGGTGTGGCGGGGTCATTCAGCCAGGCGGAAAGTGGCTGACCAAGTACGGGGTGAATGGGACAGAACAGAGGCTTCCAATGGCCTCTCACAACAGGGAGCGTATGCTTCGGAAGACGAGGCTCTTGCTCAATTACAGCGGCTACTTCGTTTTGCCTCCACCCGCAGTGAGGATGACCTGAAACGGATACAACATTATGGAGCAAGACAGATGGAAACAGTACAGTCCTTGGACCTGAAACCAAGCGGACCATGGCCGTCGGCATATTCAAGACTACAACGGATATCTTTGGTTGCTATAGAACGCCAGCTCAGGCCTTCATCAACACAATGGAGTCAGATCGGGACATCTCTTACCACCCTGCAGTTTTTAGCCGAACAGATACCTGCCGAGACATCCCAAAACGCCCAGAACTATTACCACACCCTCGCCCAAGTCGTATCTAGGCTCTCCCCCGAACTCGAGTCGTCCGACAATGGGTTAAACGTAGTCAACGTCGTGCTGAAAACCCTGGTCGCGCCATTGAGGGTTACTGGATATACTTTGGATGCCTACGAAGCGCTTGGGGTGCACTTCTTGACACTTCCGTTGCTTAGTTCTGACTCAACATCGCCGCCAATACAGAAGCTTCGAGATTCGCTCGCCGACTCGATAAACTACAAGCTACTTGCGAATGCGCTGGCTACTCTAGCTAAACGATCCGGACTACAAAACAAGCCAGAATTACAGAGTACACTGAGTCGGCTCCGTTTGCTGGGAACCTTCATCTATTTCCACCGCTATGCTCACAATTTTGATACCCCAGAGGCGTACGCTGTACACAAAGACTTTGTATCTGTTGTATCTGTTCTTCTGAATTCGCTACCCGTCAATATAGTTGATGAAGACCATCCCATCACAGAGATCACCGAAGACGATGCCATCAATTCGGATTCAGGTGCAGTGACTGAGTTTCTCAAACAGCAGGTTGAATCTCTCGTGCATCAAGAAGGAATTGGGAGTCTCTTGGCTGGCTCATCACAATCCCTTGATACTTCCGAAGACGAGAAGGTTGATGAAGCGCGGCAGCTCGCCAACTACGCGCTTGCACTGCTGCGCTTCTTTCCACGAAGAGGTGACGAGATACGCATGTGGCTTTATATTGGCCCATCGGAGTCGTCTGGGAAGAGCACACGGAAGTTGCCCGCTATCCGGTACTTCTGGGAGGCATCGAGAAGGTCATCAGTCTTTTCCACAATCTTCAAAGACTCACGGGCAGCCATTGGTCTGCTGAAGCCAAAGCCATCCGACGCTAACAGCTCAGATCGCCTGGGCACATTCGGTCTGACACAGCACGGGTTCTGGCAGCCAGCGCAACAGCAAGTGAATCGTGATGCTGCTGTTACGGATGAGTGGCGGGTCATACTAGTATTTCTAGAACTTTATACATTTGTGCTCAAAGTTACAGATGATGAAGAGTTCTTCAGTACTGGACAACAAGACGCCTATTCCGGGCAAGTCCGTGATAATGGACTGCCTTTGACCGAAGTAAAGGACCTCACGACATTCTTAAAGAATCTAGGTTTCACACTTTACTTTAATGCAGTAGAAATCACTACGTCAGAAGACAGTGCCGAAAGCAGCAGCACAGGCTTCAATTACTTCAACCCAAAAGCAATCGAAAACCAAAGCCAGAAAGAACAAGTTGAGCCATCAATAGGTGGAGTAGCTGGATTGAGGATCGACTATGTTAAAGGGCTGGTCACAGGTCTCCTTCGTATGGTCTACGAGCGTGACTCGCGACGCAAATTCTTGCCGCCAGACCACTGGTTGATGACTTCACGATTCGACATGACTGGCTTCATTCCAGCTGTAGTCGAAGAGGAGGAGTCACGTCACAAGATCCAAGAAGAGGATGGAGACGATCTGGATGATCACGAAGAAGAATTTGACGATACACCACAGCTTATTGGGACTAGTCGGACCCAGCAACAACGACGACTAGAGAAACTGCAACGACAGCAACGCAAGGCTTCAAGAAGAAGGTACCTCCAGGCTGTGGCTCCTCGGTTGGAAATACTGCAGAACATGCCATTCTTCATACCATTCACTACCAGGGTACAAATCTTCCGAGAATTCGTACATCTGGACATGACCAAGCGAAGAGGCGGTTCTGATCCCGAGCTCTGGCGATTCAGACTGATGCAGCAACCAAATGCCCGTGGTCAATTCGAAAGGCACTCTGCCAGGATCAGGAGAGAAAACGAGTTTGATGATGCCTTCGACCAGTTTTATGACCTGGGACAGGGCTTAAAGGAACCAATTCAAATCACCTTCTTGGATCAATTCGGTTCACAGGAAGCCGGTATCGATGGTGGTGGTGTCACCAAAGAGTTTCTGACAAGCGTCACCAACCGAGCCTTTATGCCTACAGACTATATCGACATGTTCATTGAGAACGACCACCATCTCCTTTATCCTAATCCTGCGGCACTTGAAGAACACAAGGAAGCTCTGCGACAAGCGGGCATACGCGAAGGATCACAAGAGTATCGTGCGCAAATCACCGAGCTGCTTCAACGCTATGAGTTCTTAGGTCGCATCATCGGCAAATGCATGTACGAGGGCATCTTGATTGATATCAACTTTGCACCCTTCTTCCTACGCAAATGGGCTCTGACAGGCGGCGCCGGCTCCGCACCCAACGAATCAGGCTACCGACCAACGCTCAACGACCTTCGCGACCTGGACGAAGAGCTGTACCAAGGCCTGCACAAGCTCAAAACTTATCCCGGTGATGTGGAAGATTTCTCGCTCAATTTCACAGTCACAGACACCATTGTCGTCGATCACACCACTACACCCAAGAAGACCAAGGCTATCACCAAGGACCTCAAGCCCGACGGCTCCAACACACCTGTCACGAACCAAAACCGCCTCGTCTACATCAGCTACATGGCACGCCACCGCCTACAGAACCAACCGTACGCCCAAACCGCCGCCTTCCTCCGCGGCCTCAGCACAATGATCCAACCCTCCTGGCTCTCCATGTTCAACCAGTCTGAATTGCAAACTCTCATCTCCGGCACCCGCACCTCCATCGACGTCGAAGACCTCCGCCGCAACACCATTTACGGGGGCACATACGTCATTGGCGACGACGGCCTCGAGCATCCGACCATCCAGCTCCTCTGGAAAGTCATGAAGGAAATGTCCGACGACGAGCGCCGTGCTGTCCTCAAATTCGTCACGAGCACCCCTCGCGCCCCGCTGCTGGGCTTCGCGACGCTTAACCCGCGCTTTAGCATTCGCGATGCCGGGAGCGATCAGGAGAGGTTGCCTAGCACGAGTACATGTGTGAATTTGCTCAAGTTGCCCATGTATCGCGATGAAGCGACGCTCAAGGAGAAGTTGCTGTATAGTGTTTTTTCGGGCGCGGGCTTTGATTTGAGCTAGGCAAATGAGTTTAGTTTTCTTGGTTTTGTAAATGGGCCTGTTTGAGGGGCAAAGTTCGAGTGAATCTAGGAGACTTGGGCGCGGTGGAAATGACCAAGGGATTGATTGCTCTTGGGGGGTTTCACGAGTCGCCGTGCAAAGTAGATGTAGACATTCTTTTTCTTTCAACTGCAATAGAGACAATTTTCCACCTTTGTCTACGTAGTTTGGTCTGGAACTTACGGTATTCTACTGCACGGTACAAGTGCGCATTTCAAGTACAATGTGCAACGAGACATAAGAAAACGGATAGACATGTAAGTCTGATGAAGCAAACAAAACAAAAATGCAAGTTCGGGTATAGTTTGCTGCAGGTTACACAGCTTGGGCGACGATATGGCGCCTTCTACAGGGGATATAGTACTCCACTCCGCTCTTATCTACCATCTCCACAACACGGAAGGTAGCTACAGGAGCGCAATATCGTCATCGTCTGACAACGACAATGTTCTACAAGACACACACCTAGTGCCCGACACGCTCCTAGTGCCGTTCAGGCATCTGATGCTGCCTCTTGAGGTAACTCGCCTATAGTCACAGTCAGTCAGATTCGTAACGTTCCCCAGATATGTATCCCACAAATGCCCCAAGCAAATCAACCAAAAGACTCACTTCATCAAGCACAGCCTGCAGTCTGCCTTCCTCAGCCACAACCTTCTTAACCGTATCGCTAACATTGCCTTCGAGGCCTACATTACAGCCTCGCGGCAGCCATCTCAATATATGAAACGCATTTGCGTATACGCTTGTTGCTCCCGTCATCCTCCCGTCGTCAGGCAGGCTGGCTTGCAGGATGATTTTGAAAGTTTTGAGACCCCAGCAGTAGCGCAGGCCCAAGCGGACGAGGTCGGCAAATCCATCGAGGATATCGTGATGCGACGGTATTGTAAGAACGACGTGTTTGATGAGGCTGCGGGAGCGCTGGTGCAACGTCGAAAGCGTATGTATGCCGCTTGTCAAGCTGAGCGTAAACACATTATCGCTGTACAGAACTTGCCGCGCCTCCTTATATATCTGCTTATTCAATCGCAAGATCTCTGGAATGATAGGGTCGCTCAGTGGGATGCGCTCTGGCCCTGGACTCTGGCCTCTCCCTCGCTGATTCAAGTATGGTCGCTGCTCCGGCCCGTGAAACCATACTCTGCGTAGGACGGGCGTGGGCGCAGGAGGAAACTCGTCTTCGTCAGGCTTCTCGGGAGCACGGTCAGCATGGAGGAGGAGCGGTTCCTCGCGCACGAGCGCCATGTGGTATATGTGGATGCGAAGTTCGGCGGGAAGCTTCATGAATGGAAAGGGAGATTCGAGGACGTCGTCGACTGTCGGGTACGATGGCGCAGCTTCGCATTCGGACAAGTTGCTGGGTTCTGGTGTCGCGAGGCCGGTTCGAACTGGCGGGTTCAGAGGACTGGGGCAAGACGTCGGACTCTCTGGTACTGCATCGCTGGCCGTATCGCATGTGCGAGATCTCTTCGATCTGTTATCATGAGGCTCAACCTCGTCTGCTAGTATTAATCTTTTCCGTCTGGGTGCTGCGCGCCGATCCATGACTGGCTACTCTGGTGTGATAATATCGAATAGAGTCGAGCAACTCATCGGCAGAGTAGCAATGTTCAGCAAGTTTCTTCTCTTGGTCGACTATATGGTGCCGACGGTCACCTCGGTGGGAGGGAATGACGCGTCGGACGTGCGAAATACCACGTTCTAGTCTTAGGGAGACAGTCCGGCTAACTAGCTCATCATCGCAGGCGCAGATACAATGGAATATCGGGGCGGATAACGCAACAATACAAACACAATAGCAAGACGCTTATTTATTGATAAACAAAAAAGAAGTGAATGTCAGAAGTAGGTAACAGACAAGTGGATTCGCGGGTCGGGAGGTGGGTGATTGCGGGGTCGAGAACACCAGTAGCGCGTCTGAAGATCCAGCAGGCAGATGCCAATGCGCATGATAGTTGCGTCACGTGTTTCTTCAATAAATAGTGCAGGAAGAATAGCATGTGTGATGTGAACAAGAGCCCTGCGCGTACCATGTTGCGCTATCTCTGAAAAACATGGCCTTCATGAGCCAAAATAGTACTGCAAGAATTTGTCTCTGTAAAATGATTTGCACCAAAGTGTTATCTACCGCAGCCAGAACAGTGCAGACTGCCGGCTTCGTATCTACACAATCGGCGTCGGTCGAGAAATTAATAATAAAGGGAATCAGAAAGCAACCACACGCCCTACCGATCTGTTCCGCCTCCTACAGTTTGTTGTAACCTCGAAACTATGAAGCATTCAGACACCCCCCTACATAATCTCAAGAGCATAAGGAACAATGTCTCTAGGTAACTGTCCTCCAGTTACAGACACCAGGTAGCGGAGACAATAAAAAAACTAGGAAAATTCCTCCGCATACCTGCCTAGACTAACTTATAAGTCTATTAGGTTGTTGCTGCCAGGTTGTCGGTTCTGCGGCTGCTGCTGGGCACCAAATGGGTTGGCATTGCCGTACGGGTTGGCACCAAAGTTGCTCGCTGGTCCAGTCTGTGCAGGCATCAAGCGGTTTTGTTGAGGCATGCCTGTGAACTGTGAGTTCAAGAAGGGGTTGTTTCCAGTGGCATTTGCGTTTATCTTGTTCAAGCCCGCGCCGGCTGAGTTGACAAACGTTCCTGGCGCAGTGTGCTGAGCGGGAATACGCATGTTTCCTACGTTGCCAAAAGTGTCCTGACCCTCTCCAGTTGCCAAGAGTGCGTTGAGTCGCGCAGCAGTTGGGTCCATTTCCTTCTGCGGTGGTTGTGGTCGCTGTTGCTGCTGCGGCTGCGGCGTCGCCTGTGGAGAGAATGATGGCTGAGGGCTGAAGGACGGGGTGTTGAACTGTGTCTGAGTCTTTTGCTCACTTAGAGTGTTCAGCGTAGGCTGTGTGAAGGACTGCGTTGGCTGCGGTCGGTTGAAAGACTGCGCGAATGGGTTGTTGGAGCCAGTCGGCTGCGGCATCAGAGATTCCTGGGTCTTGTTGCTAGCCCATGGGTTGTGGCTGCCAGGCTGGAGTGTGTTCTGGTCTTGCTGCGGTTGCTGCTGCTGGCTCATGTCTCCAAATCCGCCGAATTGGCCATACGGGTTGTTCGTAAAAGCGGTTTGCTGGGGCTGGATCGTGTGCTGGGGTTGCAAATATTGCTGTTGCTGCTGAGCGTCAAACTGATCAAACCCCGTCGGTTGTGGCTGCTGTTGGAAACCTCCATAGCCTCCAAACCCGTTCTGGAATCCCGTCTGCTGGGGCTGCATTCCGGTAGGCTGAGCGTATGCACTGTTGAGGAAACCAGTGTTCTGGGGTTGTTGCTGCTGCTGCTGCTGCTGATTTGGGTCCACAAGATTGCCAAACCAGTCAACCTGACCCTGCTGCTGATAGCCCTGATTGTTTCCGGTGGGCTGGTAGACACTTGGTTGAGCGGTAGTCTCTCCGAAAAGCAGGTCGGCATTGGTTTGTTCGAGCTCCTTGCGGCGCAACTCCTCTTCCTCTTTACTCAGCTTGATCGCCTTCTCCAGGTCATCGTCATTCTCATCAGCCCTCGCGCTGCGTTCTCGACGCTTCTTTTCTTCCTCGGCCTCGTTCCTGCTAGCCTCAAGGGCTAGCCTAAGCTCGATGTCCTCTTCCTCTGTTCTACGGTTACGGCGCTGTTCGCCATTCCGCTGGCGCCTTTGCGCATCATGATCTACACTCTGGGGTCCGCCTCCAGGATATTCCTCAATGCCCGTAACTCGCGACTTCCACGACTTCCTGTCGGCTCGCTCAGCGCGTAATCGTTCTTCGTCCATGATGAGCGAAGTCAACTCCTTGGCTGCCATTCGCACTGCGAGTATCTTAGTAACCTGTTCTTGCTGCGGTGCGAGACGCGCTTACCATTCTGACCAACGTCACGGCCATCCTCATCAATGTGTTGGAATTCGCGCAATGTCTTGATGATGTAGATGTTCTTGCGCGCCCAGGTTACGACGAGCTCTGAGCCCTCGTGCAGGCAGTAGTCGAGCACCTTGAGTGATTTGAGGACGTGGCGCCAGTTTTTGCCTCGGTCGTTGAGTCGTTTGTCCAGCATGTCCATTACCTGGTAGAAGTCGGTCGAACTGGGCAAGGTGTCAGCATAGCCGGGCGCGACCACACAGGGCGCTCATACCTATTGAAGGTGATTTGGGCAATCTCAGCCATGTCGGAGCCCACAGGGCCCCATGGATCGTTGCTGGTGGCTGCAATTGTTAGATGCGCCATACGTGTAGCTCACAGGGTGCTCCCTACCATTCCGGACCTTGACTTCGACCTGGCTATAGCCCTTTGTCACGTTCTTGACGGATCTTGCGATTTTACTCATTGCTGCGATGTGTCTCGGAGAAGAAGATGATCAAAAGGTAGTAAGGGGCAGCGGAGCTGTCGGGAGGAAAGGTCGCAACAGGCGTGCAGCGGATCAGAGCTGGAGCGCTGGGCGTATGACGTGCCGTTAACCAGTCGAGCTCAAGCAATGGGTGGCGCGATGATTTAGAGCCTGTTGAAGGTCCAGCGAGGGTGGGAGAATGGGGCTGTGTCTTCCGTGTGGGCTGTGGCAAGCTGTGGTAAAATGGACTTGCAGGAGAGTCGTGGATAGACGTAATGCGAGGCTGGTGCGCTGATGACCACCTGCAGCACAGCCAGGGCCCGAGCGACCGAAACCCAGGGTCGGAGCGCTACGACGTCAACCCCAGAAAATATCGCCCGCCTTGGAAACTCCTCGACGTACCAATCTAAGCCATAGCAGCCCTTCTCTACCCTCTTAAGGAACCAATTTCTCCAAGTGCCCAGATGTGCTCGCGAGCAGCCCAAGGTGCTAGAGGCGACTGGCGAGCGGGCTGACGAATCTGCCTCGTCAGCCGCCCTTGGTAATATCATGCAATGCTAGGGAACATGCTCAAGTGAGCCCCAACCGGTTTGGGCGAAGCCACAGCAGTGGCGTGGAATACCTGTAACAAGTCCAACATGGCCAACAAAGGTCAAACACTATGTCTGAGAGATGCACGCTGATGCGCCTACAGTAGCAGCAATCCAAAGCTACGGTTGGGCATCATTGCAACCCCCTACCGACACGACTTATTCGACCAACACCCACCGCAAAAGCCTGCCGAATCCAATCATCTCAAGCCTACGTACATAAAGAGGCCCAAGGAATGCTTGTCATTCATTGTCTAGGGCTCACATTTGCCTTCATCCTCACTCACATCACAGGCTTTCGAGGGATACAAGTAAATTAAAATTGATTCACATTTTTTGGTCCTGCTTGCGCAGAATAGTTGTAGTCTAAAAGTGGATGTAAGTCCTTCATTAAATACCAGTCTAGAGATTTGCCCATGTCCGTAAGAGAAACGAGACAGAAAAGATACAGGCCAGGACGCCCTTGCCAATCTTGATGTGTCGCAGACACGCCCAACGCCTGCCATACTGTGGTGAGCTCCCGGTCAAAAGCAACTAGAAAGTAAACCCCGGAGAACCCGCCACCAGATAAATATCAAAAATGTAAACAGAGAGAAAGACTTGGAGAAACAAGGGAGATGAACAAAGTTGGGAAACATGTAGAGAAACCTCCGAGCGCTTCAAGTCCTGCGAATCCATGAAATCTGCTATGCAGGACATTTTGATGTAAACAATAGAACACGCCAGTGAGCAAAGGAAAATTTTGGTGGGCAGTCAGGGTTATGAATCCTGCTGGCCAAAACGAAAAAACACCACTCTAAAGGACTCGCATGTATTAGGTGTACAGACGAAAGCGACGACCCATGATGGTACCACCATGGCTCCAGAAGGCCCTGTTGAGTGCATGGTAGCTCGTCCAAGCCAGTATCCGAGACTGCTCGGCTATTACAATGGACATGATACGATGGTTGGATGGAGAGTCGATCAAGGCATTACGATACTAAAAGGGTTTGTGGTCTATTGAACGGCAGGCGCCCACATCTCGTTGCCCATCCGCTGTTGGTTGGGGTTGTAGTGGTCAGGCTCAGTGCTGTTTGGGCGACGGATGTTGTTGTGTTGGTAGTACATGCCATTCTGCGCCTGGTACTGGGGCTCAGGGTAGACGTATCCGTTGTCACCAGCGCCTGGAGAAGGCAGGGCCTGTTGACCAGGTGATTGCCAGCCCATAGCAGACATATGCGGGCTTCCATTAGCGCTGTTGGTACCTCCAGACTGGTTGTGGTTGGCAGACGCAGGGGGCTCAAGGATCGGCGGGGGGCCATATGCACTGGGGTGGGATGTGATGGCGGGGCGAGAGCCGCTCACGTTGGAGGCATACGATTGCGCAGTAAGCGCAGGAGATGCTCGGGGGCTGGGCTGGGGCATCTCATGACGCATGTGCGGTGGGACGTTGATGCCGCCCATGTAGGCGTAGTCAGAGCCCTGGCGGTGAAGACCGGGCATCCCACCTGCAGGCATTCCGTTGGCAGGCGAGAGAGACAGCGTGCGGTCGTTGGGCGAAGGAGTGCCCAACGGGGAAGCTGTCTCGGAATAGTCACCGCCATCAGAGCGGCCAGTCCTGCTCGAAGCAGAAGCACGCGAGGCAAGCGCAGCGGCTGTAGCAGCGGCCGCCTCCTCAACAGTGCCGGTGTGATGGTTCTGGTGACGTGTCAAAGTAGTGCGTCGCGTGAACGTCTTCTGGCAGTCGGCATAGGGGCACTTGTATGGGCGCTTGCCAGAGTGGATACGGCGATGGCGCGCCAGAGAGCTAGAATCACTAAAGGGCTTGTTGATGTTAGTGAGGAGAAAGCAAGCGAGCCAAGCGTGAAACATACCTTTCCGCATCGTTCACACATGTGAGGCTTCTCACCAGTGTGGACACGTTGATGGACCGTCAGCGCTGAACGCTGGATGAACTGCTTGCCGCAGTTTGGGTAATCGCAGACATGAGGTCGGATGCCGCTGTGGATACGTTCTGCGAGTGTGTCAGTGCGCTGCAGTTTTAATGTTGCGGTCCAAGCTTCGTACCATGACGTGCGAGGTCACTGCGTCGCGCGAAGCCTTTACCACATGTCGAGCACGCGAACGCCTTTGGTGGACCCGTATCAGAGGCGGGCCGCCCACCATTGTGCTGGTGCTGGACCTGGTTGTCAGGCATCTGTTGTTGCTGGGCATAGGCGTGATCCGGGGGGTTTGGAATGTAGTTGCTGTTGTTCAGCATGGGCATGGGCGCCTGCATCTGCGAGGGCGAGGGGTAGCGGAGGCCGTTCATGTGCTGCTGGGGGATAGAAGGGTATGAGGGGAGTTGCTGCTGTGGTTGCTGCGATGAGTAGCGCGATGAATCTGACGGGTGAGGCGAGACGCCGCGTTCAGAGCCGTTTTCAGACTTGATGTGGCCGCCGTTGAGGTACGACGGGGGCGCGCCAAAGTGCTGTTGCTGCATTGCGTGCTGCATGGTGAATAGGGAACCGTGTCCTAGGGAGGCTGTTAATCTCGCGTTCAGAATCGTGTCAAGCTCCATTGTCTCAGAGCTCGCTTCGCGTGACGGGCGACGTGGGAAAAAAGGGCCAAAATGGGGCGGTTTGAGGGGGTAAGAGACGGGGGGCGGTGCGCACCAGGAGAGAGAAGGAGGGTGGAGCGGGCTGGGTGAGAGCCTCGCAGTTGCACGTGTCGCGCTGGAGTGAAGGAGAGACAAAAGGGCGGGAATCAGCAGGCGTCGACGACAAGAGTCGGGATGCTTTGGAGCGGCAGTGAGTAGGAGTCGAGTCTCGTGTCGGACCGCGCGCAGGTCAATGCAGCGGAGGGACTGGACGAGGGCAAAGTCAGTCGCGTGGGTGAAGGAGCGTGGAGGCAGCAGAGCGGATGAGCGAGTGAAGGGGCAAAGGAGTGGCGCGCCAGAAATTGTCGGTCTGGCAGTCGGGCTGGCCACGACTGGGGGAAAAAGGGGAGTGGAGCGGTGAGAAGGGTCTTGTGCGGGAGGTTGCGGGCAGCACGGAGCGAAAGCGGACCGTTCTTGTGGTGCAGTACGTACCTGAGATAGATATAGACGGGTGAGGTGTCGGGGCAGGGGATGGGCGGTGATGGGGGGACGTGGTGTTGAAAGTCTGCAGGTACTTCTTTACTCACTGCGCGTAGTTGCCCAGAAAGTGAAAGAGCGCTAGAGCGCTTATGGCCTTGGGCGGATCCCGGCCACGAGCTAGTCAACAAAAGGGACCACGATGTGCGCCCGGAGTCCGAGCGCAAGAAGGGCCTCGTTAGTCGACTGCACACCACCTGGGCCGATGCCGTCTGGTGTCTTGGTGCTGGTCCTGCTGGTGCTGGTGCTGTCCCTGCTGGCCCTGCTGGCCCTGCTGGTGCGGGTGCGCTGCTGCGAGCGAGGGCCGACTGAAACTGCCAGTCTGCCCGACGGCTTTCCCACGCGACGGGCCCGGACAGGGGGGGCGATGGATGGGTGTGCACACACTCGCCGATGGCTGCGACTCCAACCTAACTACTGATCCCGCCAACCGCAACGCCCGGCACCGTCAAGTGGCACTGCTGCAACGCTCCCGAGGGGCGAACCGTTGTCCTTTCCGAGCCACCGCGTCTTCGACGGCCTGGTGACGTTGGCGACGGGGCAAGAGACGCTGGTCACTGTCGGCGCGCGCGCAATTCACGACGCCAGATTGCTTTGGCCCAACAAGCTGGTCGACTGCCTTTTTGCGACTGGCTGCTGCAAGAGGCGCAGAATTGTCTTGTTGCTTTTGGGCGGCAAAAAGAAAACGTCAATGGAGGAGGCGGCGGCTGCTGCTGCTGCTGCTGCTGCTGCTGCATGTCATTGTTAATCGGGTTCGCGAGCCGTGCGCTGACTGTGTTCTTTGGGGGAGGGGAGGGGAGCGAGGGCTGTCATGCGGCTTACCTATCCCCAACTGGCCCGCGGGTTGCTGCTTGCACTCGCTTTGTTCGCAGGCAGGTGGTGTCAAGATCTGGAGAGGATCAAAGTGCCGGTTCCGTCGTGCGGTCCCTCTTCAACGCTCTGGACAGGTGGTGCGTGTGCTGTCTATCCTATCTCTTGGTACAGTATACTACTACTACATCCAGAGGGCGTCATGGCACGTTCAAATACACCACATCAGTGCATCCCAAACAAAAGTTGAGTGCGGAGCAGCCCTATCCTTGCGCTCATCTCGCGCTCGCGACACTACAGCTTCACCATGACCAGGACTATTCCTGCAAGCATGCCCCTCCTGGCTGTCAAGGAGCCAGGGCAGTCATGCGACCTTGTTTGAGGCGTCTGTGGCGCTTTTGTGCACAGATGAAGATCCACAACCCGGGCGACAGCACCGTCGCCAACGTATCGATGTACTGACTGTACATACACATGTACATACATACATAACCACGTAAGTACTCCGGTATCCGCCAGCAGGCGCATCAACGGCGGCTCTATCGCGTCTGGACCGGTGGGCCATGGTGGAACGTGTCAGCTGGTCGCTCACGTCGCCATTGTTGCCAGCACTGCCAGGGCGGGCTCGCTCTCCCTTCCATACACGGCGAGCGGCCATGTAGAATTGGAATTGCATTGCAAACATGGCCAGGACGGCGACTCAGCGGTTCCTGGAGAAATGCTGGGATTGGGAGAGCATGGGCCAGTTTGGAAGAGCCATGGAAGGCCGCTAGAAGGAACAAAGGCACGGTGCATAAGACGTGTCCTAGCCATGCAGCGGGCGACAAGTCTGCGTGCCGGCAAAGGGCCCAAGCACGAATGTGGGTTTGAGACAGCAGAAAGAAGCATAGCATTCTCAATCCCGAAGACGTCTGGCTCTGCTGCAGGGCAGCCTATTGGCGAGGCTTGTCCAGAATGGCGGAGGCTGGGGGACGCCCTTCTGTCCTGTGAGACGGCCGTCGACGCCCCTGAAGCTCCGTGGAAACACTTTGGGCTCACGAACGACGCGCCTTTCCCACACCCCACGAAGCCGCCACACAGCTGTAACCCCCAGAAACACCTGCGTGTGTTCGCGGGAGGGGTTTGGCCCTCATTGGCGATATATATGGCAACACACACACCCTCCCCCTGGCGATAGGTCCCTATGTACTAGAAGCAATGTCAAATCGACGATGGCCGTAGTAGCATGTCTGTCTCGACGCAATTCAACCCCCCCCTCCTCTTTGGCCATTTGCGGCCCAGCGCCGTGGGGAGACGGGATGGCATGGCAGATTGCGGCCAGGCTAGGTAGGTGGAAGGTCAGGACAGGCGGCACGTGGTGCGTTCTCGGGCAAGGGCACCACGGCTACGCTGTCTGAATCTCCCACCGACATTTCAAAACATTTGGGCCATTTAGTTGTAGTTGCGGTGAAGGAGTCGTGGACTGGCACTGGGCTGCTTGGGGCACTCGGTATGCTTCCGCTAGATCCGTCTGTGCTTGCGCGTCCCACCCCGGCCAAAGTATCTGCCGGGGCCCACCAGTCCCAGCCTCACTATGTTTCGATCATCGACACACGTACCCCCTAAACAGTTGTGCACCACCGCACGCACACGACATACCACCACCTACTACCCTGCATTGTGACAATGCCCATCACATCGCAAAAGCACAAACAAGCCCTCCCCAACTGCGATTGTCGCTGATCGACGCCTGCCGCCTGCACCTGCACCTGCATCCCGTCTGCCGGTGCTTCTGCTTCTGCTTCTGCTTCTCCCACTCCTGTCTGTCTGACCCTGCCAACTCTAATTGCTAATAATGCGCCGGCCAGCGGCACCCACTACCGCTAGCCTGGCACATTTTGTCCCATCATTTTGCAAATGCAACGAGCTATTCTGGTCTTTGGAAGCACAGGGCGCCTCAGATATCCTGTGTCATCAAAGCGTGCCACTGGCCCAGCGGCTGCGGCCCCAGCTCCCCTTGACCAACGTTCCGGCGCAAGGGCGACTTGTTACCAACCCTGCAGCGAGGCTTCGACAATATCCAAGCGCCCTTCTCTGCAATTTCTAGAAGCCGCATGCATCGCTCGTGTCACGGAGCGCTGCACTCGCCCACACCCTGTCGTTTTCCAGAAGATTGCCCATTTGCGCGCGTCTACCGCACATGCACACGCACACCTTCTCTTTTTTTTTTACAGACACACACACCCTCGATATGACAGCCAACATCCAGATACATACGCAATACCTCCGTCACGCTCGTTGAAGCCACCTTTTCTACCCGCCCGAAATGCGCGTTTTTAGCTGCTAGAAGAAGATACCGGCGCGGGATCAAATCCGACTCGCTTGCATCCGCATGAAAGCCACGACCCTTACCTTTTGCCATTCGGTCCTATTCATCTTCCGCTCCTGATCTGCCCTGCTCCACCAATGTCCAGCCTTCTCATCAACTGCATCGTGAGCCCCCTTTTTGTTCAATTGCAGTATAGTGCAATATGTCCTCGTGACTACTGCCCTTGTTGGACAAACTGCCCTACATGGTCTTGCAAATGTCGCTCAGTAATCTCTGGCCTCAGATTCAGGACATTTGATGTTGCCGCAAAAAACCATCACATACCCAAGCATCTACATCCTCGCAACAAGGCCAATGCCATAGCTGCTGCTGTCGAGCATGGGCATCTTACCACCATAGCTTGCCGTTCCGGGTGCACGTTGTTCTTCGAGCCGTTGCAAATGGCATCTGACGGTATGCGCGGTGTACAAATCGTACGTATTACATGGTTAGCACTAAACGCCGCAAAATGGAGGTGAAACATGACGGCTGCACAGACACGTCGCGCTCAATGAGTCAGTTTGCGTCATCAAATATCCCCGATAGGCGGGCTGCGCTGAGTCTCCCAATAGTAGTAGTATACATAATACAGCACATTTGCGAACCCGAACCCACTCCTCGTGTCGGTCCGCACAAACACTATATGTAGTAAGAAAAAAGACAAGTGGTAACTGCCGACTTACGCCCGATATCGAAATGCAATCATCATCATCATCATCATCATTGTCAAAGAAAAAAATTGAAGAACCAAAAAAAGGACCGACAAACTGGAGTGGTCATGATTCTCAGATCCTAGGAACTCCACCAGTACCGAACAACTCCATCTTCACCCGCTCACTTGGAACGCCATAGCTCTTCAACTGGGCCTCAACGTCGAGCATGAACGATGTGGGCCCGCAGCAGTAGTACATAGTGCTGCTATTGTCCGTGTGGAGAATTGTCCTGTCGACGCGATCGAGATCCACACGGCCTTTGATATCATAGTCGTGGCCCTGCATATCCTCTTGGCTTGGGCGTGACAGGTAGTAGACGGCATGCACGTTCCCATGGTTCGCGACAACACACTGGTCCATGTGCTTCTTGAAGGCCCTGGTCTGCGAGTTGCGCGCACCCTGGATCCAGGTAATGGGCCGAGGTGAATCTGCCTCGTCAATCAAAAAATTCAACATGGACATGAGCGCAGTCACCCCGACGCCCGCCGAGATGAGCACCACTGGGCCTCCTGCTGTTGCTGCTGTATTGTCGTCGTGATGACCCGCTTCCTCGGAATCGACAAGATGGAAATCTCCAAACGGATGCGACACCTGCACCACATCACCCTCGTGCTTTGCATCGTGCAGCAGATTCGAAATGTACCCCACATGCGTCATGTCCTTGTTCTCCCCAAGCACCACTCCAGCCTCCTTCTTGACACTGATCCGCAAATAGCTCTTGCCTGGTGCATCACTCAAACTATACTGTCTAGCCTGCCACACACCACCATCCAGCTCCTCCACAAACACCCTAACCGAGATATACTGCCCCGGCTTGAACCGCGGCAACTTCAGTTTAGCAGCATCCACCGGTTCGAGATAGAAAGAAGTAATCTCCTCGCTCTCCTGGACTTTCTTGGCAATCCGGAAGTCCTGCCATGAAGGCCAGTACGACGTCGAGCGGTACAGCTGGCTCTCCTTGTTAATCATGATGTTGGCGAGTTGCCAGTACGCGGCGCCCCACGCATCCAGGATCTCGGGTGTTGCGGCGGCGCCGAGCACGCTCGACATGGTGGAGAGGAGGTGCTTGCCGACAATGTCGTATTGATCGGCGCGGATAAAGAGGCTGGCATGCTTGTGGCAGATGAGTTCAACCGCGGGACTCAGCTTGCCCAGGTTGTCGATGTTGGCCGCGTAGGCGTACAGGGATCCCGCAAGGGCTTGGGCTTGGTGGCCGGTGGCTTGGTGGGTGTTGTTAAAGATGTTTTTGAGTTCTGGGTGTGCTTGCAGCATATCGTGGTAGAATCGAGAGGTTATTGCCGTTCCGTGTTCTGCGAGCACGGGGACGGTGCTCTTGATGATTTGGACTTGGGTTGGTGTTAGGGTGGCCATTGTTTGTCTGCTTGAAAAAAGTATCCTTGTCAAAGTTTAAGTAGCTCTGCCAATGCTTGATAGCCGAGTAGTAGTAGATATGAAGTCTGTTGTTGTTGTTGTTGTTGTGTGTATGTGAATATGTAGTACGAATAACCCATACCACGTCTTTCACCATGACACCTATATACTCCCTGTCCTTCTATCCGACCACCCCGTCATTCCTACATTCCCCGTTCAAAACATTTACATCTCCGCGGTACTACAAACTTCACCTCTCTATGCACCCCAATCCATCACCCTCATGGCCTGTTTTCCCGGTCCACATGCGGATATCTCGCACGGCGCACAGAAAAACCGCGTGATATAATGCTGAGTCCTGCACTTGCGCAACAAACGCTAAAAATAAAAGGGCTTGGAACGCATGCAAGAACTTGTAAGGTAAAATCGGAACATTTTCGTAGTGGGGCGGGCCAACAAAATTACGTATTGGTTTGGTTACACTTTGCACGTTACTACTATATTTTCGCTTGCGTTGTAGCAGTTTCTCCGATACTTCCGTTGCCGGGCTGCATTCTTGCTTCGGCTGCGTTTGCCCTGGCAGGGGCTTTGATTCTTAATTTTTGGGAAGGTTATTATTTTACACCGTTGATCAATTTTGATAAATAGAATTCATCTGGTTGGCTGAAGTGTGGAAATGCGAGAAAAGTAAATATCGTGATGGCGCATATGATAATTGGGTTTGAACTTTGAGTCGATCAAAAATGCGCCATACAAACAACGCAACGTGAAACCAAGACTTGCGCTGCTGCAAGATTGTTCAGCTGTGCGAATTTTCTCACACCATATTTTCCTTCAGAACATCTGAGGCTCGGTGTAGTGCTGCGTTGCGTTGTGTCGAGCAAAGCCCTCACGTGTGCAGGCAAAAAAAAAAGAGGGCTGAGAAAGAAATCAAAAATATCACACCACAAACGTCAGATAGCCACATGATACTTTTTCTAACTTGCAAGCCACGACGGCGAACGCTACACATGGCCCTTTTGGTCCCGCGCCACAAATGGGTATGCCGATTTGTTCCGAAAAAGAACTCGTGGTACTTACAGGTTTTTTTTAATTATTCAGTTGTGGCCCCCGGGACCCCGTAGGGCGCAGGCACAGGATTAGTAAGAGGGGCTTGGGTGCGTTGTGTCTGGATGCGCTATGGAATTGGGAAATTGATAGTGCTTGATGGGAATATCGGTAAGGCGCCCCTGTGACATTGGTTAGGATGACGCTGAGTGTTGGGTTGTGAGACCTTTTTGGGGGTTGAGGTGTTTGTGTTCTCCGCGGAAATGCGAAGGATCGCAAGTATGACGTGGGGGATAGAAAATTTTGTACAATCACATTCTCTACATATCTGCTTACAAGGGACTGGAAATATGTACATAGTATGTGCGTCAGGGACTATACAGAAGCATGTATTTGCTGGGTGGACTAGTAAGTGTACACCTAGAGGGTACTTCCCTGGCTACTCGATGGTGCGAGCTTCGTGCATTGCAGCCAAGACGAATCCCAAGTTTTGGTCCTTGGATTTTTGGTAGTGTATGGCTGCAGGGACTAGCAGTGGCAAGGCCCCTGTGCTTGACAAACGGCGTTGTGACATGAATCTAGCTCTGGGGAACAGCGGGCCTTGCATATGCTATGACTATGCAACGGTCAGCGCTTCAAGTTGCCTCCACCGGGGCGGGCGGGACGTTCCGACTCATCGATACGTACCCTGCGCATATTATTTCTAGACCGCCGTTCTGTTGTGTGTATAGAGTTTTCGACATGACTCTTTGACTTTAAAGGCTTTATGCAGGGCCTTTTTCGTATTGGGAAGGCGTTGCCACTGAACTGGGTCCCCAAGCATCTTGCGTACCAACTCAACCTTCTTTGTAGTACGTACATACGCGAGATGTCTTAACTGTTAGTTAATTCTTGAATGGCGTTCATCTTGTCTCCATGGAGTACGTCTCACCAGCAGTCCTGGGCACACCGTTCGTGGGAACTACCTGCATGACGCCTTTTTCATATAAGAACAACGAGACCGACAATCCCAACTTTGAATCCACAAATTTCCAAAATAGAGCAACTCAAAGAAGCACCCAAAACTTGAAGCAAAATAAGCCATGTAGCTTACGAGTCTATGACGCTGCATGCATATCTCGAACACAAACAAAGTTTCAACACATTTCAAAACATGCAGAAGGCTACATGCGACACAACCACAAACAAATGCAATGCCAAACTTACGCCTCCTTGAGATTGCCTCGGCCATTTACTCTGCAAAATACGGTCTGTCAGCAAAAGCAGTAACAATGAGAACGGTGATATCGTCACTCTGCGATAATCCGGCTGTGGGGCCGGCGTACCCGTAGCAGAGTTCCTACTAACGAGCACGACCCCCATATACCCATACTATAGGCTTTGACGGCTTCATTCATATACTGTGCGACGAGTAGACGCAGTACATGACTAGAATTGCAGAGTCGGTGAAACTAGGTGGATACTTTCTACGTAAGTTCATTGTCATGGATAGTTCGAAGACCGAAGAGAACCAGTCGCCTAGTTACAAGAAGGTCCGAATGGTTTGCAGTGGCCGGGGGAAGACATGAGTTTTGAGATAGTGGATAAGGCGATACTGGAGATCGAGGCAAGAGAGACAAGTAGGCTAGGGGGGGTGTGGCGTTTATTTGGGTGTTGGCCCGAAAAGTGGTGCGATTCTAATGAATCCACTACCGTGCTTCTTTGTGAACGCATTCAACACTATTCATAACACCATTACGACATCGCAATCCATACTCACACCCCATTCTATCCCATCCCATCCAACACACCGCCGTCCAGAATCTCCTCGGAAAGTCTTCACACCGTGGAATACCAGCACACCTAACTGAAACACCCACCAACGCAGCCCCCATCCCCACTACGAACTTTATCCCCCCATCAGCTTCTCTGCACAACTCTCTCGCGTCAAAGAAGCAACAAAAGATCTTCCATCAAAACCTAGTCCAAAACCGAGACCGCGGTGTGAATGCCGAAAAAGAAAATTTTCAAAGATGACACGCCCCCCCCCCCTTCGCGGCATATTGCGAGGAGAAAGAAAGAAAGAAAGAACAAAAAATGAACTAGTAGGACTGGAGAAACAGAGAGAGACAAGAACAAACAAAAAAAAAGAGTTGATCGTGTGTCACCACGCGATTTTTTGCGAATCAGGCTACTGGGACTAGCGCGACTTTGCCAGAAAGGTTTCGCTTGATTTTCCTCGGGCGATGGAGAGAGCATAAGTGGTGCATTAATTTTGTGCAGCGTGATGATGACTGCTTTATAGGGGGGATTGCTGTGTGAAGCAATGACGTGGGATTATGTTCACCTGGGATTTCTCGTGGCTTTTCTGATTGGGAGTCTAGAGGAGCTGAGTGCATTGCTCCTTTTTGGTATGGTTGAACTCTAGATCTCGCAGTTGGACATTCCCTCAGCGAATGTTTGGTGCGATACGAGGTATCGTCGTGGCTAGAGGGTGTGACGGAACGACAAAGACTGAAGCGATGTTATTCGAGGAGACCAAGATGTCAGTTTACACTGGCTTGGGTGAATTTGATTTGGTTTTTTTGTTTGCTCTGCCTGAGAACAAGCACTTGGTTATGAGGAGCTTCGCACTCGTAAGCATCATCATCTCTTCCTTCTTTTTACCGTGGAATACCATGAGAGTGCAAAGTTATTGGATAGACCGCAAGCATTTCCAAGTGGCTACATTCTTACACAGATATGCTACCACCTCACCCACTTTCTCATGTATATTTCCGGTATGGATTGATACGTCGCTCTCCTTGCCTGGTATCACTGGGGCGTCTGAAGCCTTCGAATATCTCCTAGTCTTCTTGCAGAACACAGGTGAGGGATGAGCCATCTCTTAGAAATGAGTGCTCATTTGACATTTCGCTGATGCTGAAGGGTCGTTTGAGTGGATTTTGTTTTACTCCGCTGTCAGCTGGAAATTTTGAGAGAGAAGCAAATTTTCAGATACCTAGAGACTTTCGGTAAAAGTAGGCGCGCGACTGTTATGGTAAAGACGATACAACGTTTTGATTGCATCCTGCGTTTTGCGCATGGTTGCAATAGATTTGTTTAATATCAGTAAAGATACACTGTGGGAGGAGTGAAGAGTGATCGGATTATAGTAAACATGAACAGAAAATACAAACTGATTGCGAGACATGGTCTTTTTCTCTGATAAGAGCTGTTGAGTCGATAAGTACTCCTGCATTTGGAAAGCGTATTGAGACTCAGTGCATATGTTGGGAGAGGATGACATTCTAAGGAAGAAGAGGAGGTGGCGGTTCTATCAGGTTGTATTGTAGCGTACAGACGGTGTTGAATATTTGTAGCTTCAGCTATATATCCCTGGCCGTGTTAACTGTCTTACATTCTCCAGCTACTCGCTCTTATAATTGCAACTGCTCTAAGTATTTCTTCCCCTTGAATCAAAGGAGGATATACTCGTTGCCTGCTGATGACTAGTAGGTGGATTGAGAGAGTTAGATCGGTAAAGTTAAATGATGGCCTCTACCTGCCGCATAAAGATATAGAGAAGATTGGCATACTAACTAGACAAAGAATAGCATACTCAGTCACCAAAGGTGCAAGATAATGATGAATAGGGGCCGAATAGTAAGCCCGTTAGGTCATAAATCATCGAAGGAACGGGGAAAAGAAGAGTGGGTCCTTTAATACTATGATTTTCAGATGCCGGGACTCTACTAAAGGAAATCATGATATTTGGCGACGTTAACTTCTTAAAAAGTATACTCGAGGTCTTTATAACGGCACCAAAAAGTGCATATGAACGGCCCAGGTTTTCGAGAAAGTCAGAATATAGAACATCGCGGCTACATACTGTGCAGGTGAGTCTGAAGTTTGGCCTGGTGTAGATAAAAAGCTTCGGGTACTGTTTCCCAAGTCATGGAATAGCCACACCCACGCAATGACATGGTTGAGTATCACAAGAAGAAGTGGTGGAAGCCACAAGACGATACAATAGACAAGAACAAAGTCTGTTGCAAAAGAGACTCAATATTCATCTGTACTCATACCTCAGATTCCTGGATTTTGCTAGAGCCGTTTACAAACTCATAATTTTCCTACCGTTTTTGTACTGCAATCACTGTCAAAACGTTCCTGCTGTTGAACAGGAGATGTAGTTTTGGTCCAGCAGATACTGGTATTGAGTCCGAGTGTCCTATAGTGAAAGGTTCCAAGAAAGAAAGAAACGAATCCGATTAATTCTTTGAAAAACCGTTGAGGAAGAGGACATTGCATTCGGTCAATGGCCCCTTACTTGATGTTATCAGACCAACTGTGACTACCAGCGCCCTGGATAGAATAATCTTTGAATTTTTTGCACTGCAAAAGTAATCAAATCCATTCGTGTTAAGTTTTTGAGCCATGAAGTAAGCCGAGTTAGACATCGATAGGCAACCAAGTCACGTGGTCAGTGCGACGGCAAAAAAGACAAAAAAGACTTTTTGGACGATCAGAGGTGGATTCGAACACTAGAGCCACCACACCACGACAATGCCAAAATACTCACAAAAAAAATGGTAGCTTCTCTTTGATTGAGCGTGTCATCCTTAGTGCAGGGGCCATGCTAATCTTCTCTGTATCGTTTCATTGACCAAATGCCCGAAGGCGAAGTGAAGTAAAATCAAAAAAATTATATAGTCAGTTACAATAAAAAATGGGGTGCAAAGTAGCAACAGTTGAACCTGCTAGCTCAACCCCTATGTGGGTGATGCACAGACGGTGCACGGATCATTGATTCTTCGTTATTGCCAATATCTGACGCAAACCCTCTCCACCGCTTTCCCAGCCTCCGCTCCCCAATATTGCCCGTGCCACTCCGCTCGTACACATGCTCTGAGTGGACATAGTTTCAAGTTTCTTCCATCCTTTATTTGAAGTCTGAATGGCCTTACCATCAATTAGACGCTGTGCGACCATTGCGTTATCTTCACTCTACGTCTAGGCAAGGAGTACTGGTGCATTTATCACCCGCACTTCTTCGTACAAGCGATTCGCAGGTTGGCAAAAGCCAGAGAACTGCCCTAGACAGAATCTCCTGGCTTCTGCTGCTTATCTCCATCTGGTGTCGCGTTAGAGGCATCACAGGGAACACATAAGGAATTAGACCAGACCACCCGAGCTTCAACACCGATACATTGAGATTATAGTTCATGATTCAAACTTGTAGCGCGGATCAAGCTCATCTTGGTAGTGAACTACGTGTTCTAAAAAATATGCGCTTTCGAACCGTGAAACGAGCTCTGTGCTTAATCACAGATTGTTGAGTGCCATAAATTAGCGCACCAACAGCGCACCAACAAGGCGATGATTCGGACGCTTGGGGTCATAGGATAACTGCGTACAACAAGTTTGGGAACGATAAAATCAATCAAGAACCAGTGGATTAATTTTCGCTAGCTTCGCCGGAGCATTGAGAGAGTGATATATTTGGTCACGAATGACGATCTCATGTCAAAGACACATCATGTGAGGTTAAGTAAGACCGGGTGTATTCACAGTTTTGCAATCGCAAATATTCCTATCTCAGCTGAAAGCAACAATGTAATAAATTTTAACATATCAGAACAAGAAGTCTGAATTCATTCATTCATAGCTGCGTACAGGCTAGTTTATTGCTTCGCGCTCAGAACCTCCTTGACGACCGCGATGACCTGTGGAAATGCATCCTTGGGAGCAGCGACTACACCCTTGTTTTCTTTGAGTGTCCTACCAAGACCAAAGTCAAGCGGCTTTCCATAGGCATCAGTGACTTCACCGCCTGCCTCTTGAACGAGGACAACACCAGCAGCATGGTCCCAGATCTTCTCTTGGTAAGTCTTACTAGTGGGCAATCTCAAGTATAGATCGCCAGCTCCACGGGCAATGGAGCAATATTTGGCTTGAGAATCCATGCGGACCGAGGGCTTGGTGATGCCGAGCTTGGAGGCAATGGCAGCATTTTCGCCTTGTGATGAGTGACCCGCTTCAACAGACTCGCAAAAGGTAGCTTGAGTAACGTCTGACAGCGGCTTCATCTTGATACCCTTTGGTTCTTGGAGGGCGCCCTTGCTCAGCGGTCGGCTGGTAGCACCTTGGCCCTTCACTGCAGCAAACAAAACACCCTTACCTTCCTTGTCATCTGCATCCTGCCCAGTGGTGGCATCAAGCGGTGCTTGGTCATCTACTGGGAGGTTGGGGCACCCAATGACACCCAAAGTTGGGACTCCATCTACAAGCAACCCTAGGCAGACAGCGTACTGTCCGCCACGCAGGAAGCCCTTTGTGCCGTCAATGGGATCAAGTGCCCAAATCCTTCCCTTTCTGCCTCCCTCGCTGTTTCCCTGGTCGATAGCAGATAGCATCGCGTCGGCGCTCTTGATGGGCCCGCCAATCTTGGATTCTGCCGCACTGTCGTCCAGCTTTGCTGCTTGTACGAGATCCCAGACAAGGTCCCGTAGCGAGTCGTTCTTGCGGAGATCGTCGGCATCCTCTTCTCCAACTACCTCATCCTCGGGGAAAGCATGCTTTATGGATGCAATGATCAGGGCCTGTGCACCAAAGTCGCCAATTGTGACGGGGGACGAGTCGCTCTTGGACAGAGTGCCCTTGGAGTGGCTCGAGTATACCGACTTTGTGAGGATGGAGGCGCGCTGGACGGCCAGGAGAGCAATCTCAAGCTCTTTCTCATACGCCATGATGTGCGTAGTATAATTCGTATGTAGGAAGTGTGATGTCTGTATTGCGATGGATGGGTAGATGTGCTGTTTCAATTGAGAAAGACGAGCAACACTGCGAGAGAGCAGAGACGGGTTGATGAGTGAGAAAGCCAGGATGGCAAGAGCTAGCAGAAAGAATCTTGATGGCGCGATGTGAGTGGACATGAGCTAATGGTCTTGTGCCCCTCCACGCGCTGGTGGGGGTGCTGCCGTGGAATGGGTTCACGGCGAGGGACCGAGCTTGGCAACGGCGGGCGGAGGTTACTGCTTTGGTCATGGCCGCCATAGCAACAACAACAACCCTACAGCTTATGTGACCGACTAGCTGCTTTCGATATTGCCATCACACGTCGCTTTCTCTGCGTTGGCATTTTGGCGTTTCTTTTTGCAACATCCGTCTGACATTCGGCTAAGACCCTGACTCTCCCGTCTGACCCGCATGAGAGTAAACAAAGACTGGTACACACAAGCCCACCGACCTGCCACATCACGGCGCACGCCATTCTGTGCATCAAAGCTCGAAACACGCCTACACGCAATATCGTTGCCCAGCCAGCTCAATAGTACATAATGACTTCGACACAGCAGCAGCCAGCGCTTGCAACTACCAAGCGCAAGTTCAACAAACTCCTCGACAATCTCACTGCAAGTACATCCACCACTTCACTCGCGAATAGCCTCCAAGAATCGAACGCATCGACGGAATCACTTTCGGATCTAGATGATCCAAGTCAACCAAACAAACGCCCACGCAGCGCAGGATTGAGCACAGAGCGAGAACGGAACATATCAGAGGGCCAGGAGCGCATACGACAACTGAAAGAGCAACTTATGACGCCACGAAGAGAAGGAACCGTCAGAGTTGTAGGAAAGACGCTATATACCCCCAAAGCATCGACGCCAAAGGCCTCGACACCACGCAAAGAACCAAACTTCCAACCCTACAGCCAAGAACATTTCCTAGCGAGGCTCAAGACATTCGCAGATGTGAAGAAGTGGACCACAAAACCAGATGCGATAAACGAGGTCGAGTGGGCCATGAGAGGATGGAGCTGCGACATCTGGAACACAGTCGCCTGCAAGGGAGGGTGTGAGAACCGTGTGGCGGTCAAACTGAGACCCAAACGAAAAGATGCAAGTGGAAGAGACCTTGAAATGAGCGAAGACCTAACGATTGAGGTCGACAATGCGTTGGTGGAAAGGTACAAAGAACTGATAGTTGAGGGACATGCCGAAGATTGCTTGTGGAGGAAGAGAGGCTGTCAAGGTATGCGCTGAGATGTATGTGAAGTCAACGCACTTTCTAACAACCAAAACAGAAGATATTTATCATATCCCCATCGCATCGCGAGCGAAGAGCTCAGCTGAATTGCTCGATCGATATCGCTCTCTCAGGGCCATAGCTACCGACCTACCCTTTCTCGAACACATCACATATCCCGAGCCGTCGATACGCCGCATCGTTGAGCGCATACCCTCTACATTCTTCACATCGACACCCGACACTCCATACCCTACGTCATCAACTGACATTGTAGCCTTTGGCTTTGCTCTTTTCGGATGGACAGGCGTCTCAGAATCGCGCATCTCCCTCGCAGTATGCAACCACTGCTTCCAGCGCCTCGGTCTCTGGCTTTCCTCTGCCTCGCGTCTGCAAGAAATGAGCCGAAAACTCGAAGTACCCGTGGACAGCCTCCGTCTGAACCTCGTAGAAGCCCACCGCGAACACTGTCCCTGGAAAAACGCAGAGGTACAAGGAAACTCTAAAGACGGTCCCATAGCAAACATGGCAGCCTGGCAGACGCTGCAATTCATACTCCTCGGTAGACCCAAAGACGCCTTTTCATCTTCCTCTGGCGCCGCTGTTGCTCCGAGTACCCCGCAGAAATCGACGCCGAGGAAATCGCATACCGGCCGCACAGACAGTGTCGAGTTGGATGCGGAGCTCGAGTATCCACGCGGCAGTATGGATAGCGTTGAGCGACCCAAGTACAATGACGAGGATGAAGAGGGAGGCCTCAAAGAGAAATGGATCAAGTTGAAAGCAAAATTGAAACGCAGTGCCAGTAAAAAGAGTATGAAGAGCACGAAGAGTGGAAAGAGTGGCAAGAGCGGGAAGAGCACTTTTACGAAGGAGAAGTAGATGTTGCTGAGATGCTATTTTTTTGGGGAAAGACGATTTTCATGTGATGGATTTGGTTCCCTTTTAATGAATACCTTTTTCTTTTCTTGTTGGATACACAGAGATGAAGGGTGCAGGGCAGGTCGGAGGAGACTAAGAATATTGTCGAGGATGGAGGAAATTAAATTTTAATCTTTTTATCTTCTTGTTTAGTCAAGTTCGAATTGTCTGTGTCACGCTTCCAGATATCTCAATGCGAAAAAGTTGTAAAATGGTGAGAGATCGATTCAAGGTATTCCAATTTCAAGAGCGAAACGCAACGCTTCAATGCAGTCTATCGAAAAAAAAGCTGATTTTATGTTGGATTTTCCACAAAAAAAGATACAAGAGAAGTCAAGAAGAAAGAAAAATGTACTGATTGAACAACCGAAAAGATGCAAAAGAGACAATGAAATACAAAGACCCAAGAGAAAAACAGTTACTATAACACAGCAATGAAAACTTAATCACATAATTCCCTCCCCTCCTTTGCCCCATCCTTCCCATTTTGTCCATCCCCTCATTGATTGACCCCACCTACCAAATTCGCCCATGTTTACCAAGCGCAAACAAGCAAAAAGAACAGAACAAGAACAGATAAAATAAATTCCCGAGTATAGGGTATCACGTATTGGAGATGCCCACCGAACCACCCCTCCGCATACTTCGCCATTTCCGTCCCTCCCTAACCCACTTTCCCTAACCCATTCCGGTTTGCCAAAATAAATAAATAGACAGGGTAAGATAAGTATGTGAAAATCGAGTAAAAAAGAAAGAAACGGTGATAGATTCGAGTAACAGAGAGGAAAAAAACAAGAAAAGAAAAAGAAGTAGAACGAAAGAGTCACACAGGGATTCTGGAGACTCCTTTCTCGTTCTTCCTCACCCCTAGCTCTCATCAGCTAGGCTCCTTTCTTTTTCTCAAGCGCCGTTTCCTCCTCGAAAATGCCACTTAACTCCCCTATTTGCGATAGAAATGCATATCTGATATCTGAGAAGAAAGAAAAAAAACTATATATAAATGTATATTGTTATATATTGCAATTTTTTTCTGTCAAGCAGCAATGGTAGGGGTGGGTGTAAGAACGCCGCCGCCCATAGTATCTTCGTCATCGTCGAATTCGTCAACAAAAGTGCTTTCGGTGCCTGCGTCTAAGTCGTCCGTGTCAATGTCTGCTTCTTCACCAGCATCGTTGAGGTTCTCGACTTCTTCTAGCCCCTCTGCTGCGTGCACGTGCTGGGGTTCAAGTTCCACGGGCATGTGCATGACGTGAGTGTTCATGCCGTTTGCATACGTGTTCGGGGGTAGATGAAGCTGTGACAGCTCATATTGAAGAGCTTCAATGTTCTCGTGCAGATGCTCCGTCATCTCGACGTTGTTTTCCTCGTCGTCGGAATGGTCGTATGCGGTGTAAAAGGGCGAGGGTCCAGATGCGGTGATGCTTGTAAAATGTGCTGGTTCTTCCGTCACGCCAAACACTGTCGTTACGGTTATAGAGTCAGGGCTCGGGATGGGATCAGCGTGGTACACGCCCGAGAAAAACTCGTGCATGGCTCCGGCTAATTCATCGGCATGTCCGCGCTCCTCCTTGTCTTTTTTCTGTTTCGCCATCGCCCGTTGTTCTGCTTCTTTCTTGGCTAGAATCTCGGCTTCCAGCCGGCACTTTGCGCGAACACTGGTTTTACGTGCGCATGTCGGGCAATGGTAATTGACAGTGCAGAATGTGCATGTGCACGACTGCGTTGATGCAGAACATTGCTAAATCTAGTGTCAGTATTATGTGTTAACTAAAAGAAAAGAAGGGGGACGAACATCACAAACAAGGACTGCGCACTCTGAGCACTCTTTGAGCATGGCAGGACATTGCGGTCTGCTGTCTCCCACCGGTCTCGGGTATTGGCAAAAGTAGGCTCCGCAACCTTCCCATTGAACAGGATGACGTGGATTGCATGGCAATGGAAGTGGGTTTGTGACTGGATGGTTGACAGGTACACGTTGTGGGTTTTGCAACCAAGGGCTCGTAGATCGACCTCTGACACCAGAAACACTGAGGGATCGTGGACGCGCTGAGCTGACAGGAACAAAAGACAACGAAGAAGCAAGGGGGAATGGATCGGGGGTTGGCATCGAGCTGAACGAGGTTGTAGTCGACATGTCAATTGAAGAATGTTGTGGAGGAGCAACGAGGGTCTGTGACTGTGACATTGGCGTCTCGGAGGATTCAGACTCATTGTCCCCGTTGGAATACAAGTCGATATTCGATGAAGACGCAGTAGGCGTGCGCTCGGGGTCAGGCGTGCTCGCTCGGTTTGGGTTAAATTCGGGGATGACAAGGCGTTGTGGTGGCTCGTTGTGTGCTCGAACATGCTCCCGCTCCGTGTGCAGTTCCCGGTAGCCACATTTGCGGACCTTCAATGCCCGGAAGTCGTGTTCTTTGCAAATGGGGCTCTTGCAGGCCCGGCACGAGACCTTCCATCTAAAACTCCTATAGCAGTCATTGCACAAGCCTCTGGGACATGTTTGCTGTTGCAGATCTAGCGAATCCTGCTTCAGGTATGAGAGTATGTCAACATCCTCGCCAAGCACATACTCATATAGGCCATTGTTCTTCAACTCTCGAATGTAGTCGACAGGTCGGAGCGAGTTGCTGAAATCAGGATCTTCGAACTCTTTCTTGCGTGGCAGGGGCGCTGCACGTATCTTGTCTGCTCCTCTGCCTCCTAACCCAGTACCCAGAACGGCAATTCCACCACCACCGGAAAATATAGGCTCCAGACAGCACCAATGCATGTTGAGCTTAGGAGGTTCGCGGTTAGCAGGCAGTACAGGCATTCCATTGTTCATGTTTCCGCCGTCTTCAGAGTCGGAAGAGTCGTCGTCATGCGCGCTCTCGTTCATGAGGTTTGGTGATCGCGTCGCTCCGGGCGCCCACCAAAAGCGATTCCGGTCAGCCCTCTCTTCTTGACTGCGCTCCTCTGCAGACGGCATCGACCCAGATGCTTGCCCAAGTGAACCCAGCGTGCCGGTATTTCCGAAAGCCAGGTTTGCAAAATGCCGTGTCTTTGCGCGTTTTCTCGGTATTGGTCTGTTGAAGGCGCAGCTCGCACACAGCGTCTTCCGGCAGCCCATGCAGTGCATACGAACACTGCACGACTCGCACCGCTCTAGAATGATGTCATCGCATTGTGAACATTTGACGTCCTTGACAAAGGCTGTGTGACTCCTTCGTTCGTGCACTGGGACGTGTTTGCCTTCTCCCGCAAAGTCGCTATTGTCAGGCCCAAGTGGCTCGCCATCTTGGCCCGTCTCAGCAATTTCCCATAACCTGCCGTCATGGTCACCCAGCGTCTTGGTGCCATCCACTGGCCCTATGCGGTTACTTGATCGCCAGAGCCTGTCAAAGGGTACCCAGACCTCCATGTTCAATGGACCTGCTCTTCCTGCATGGTAGTCTTTTCGCCGAAAGCATCTGCCACCAGGGCTCGGACACCATGCAGTGTCGGTCCATATTCCCAGCTGATGGCATATCTCGATAAGTTGGTGAGTGGGGTCGGAGTCGGAGTCTCTTCGGATGAGAGAGGAGGGAAGGTAAGGGCGTCGACGGTGGTGTCGGCAGCGGTAGGTGTAGAGGCTTTTGAGGGCGAGGTCCTTTTGGATCCACGGGGCATCCTTGAGGGTGTAGGGTTCCAAGAATGGGACAATGTGGTATTTGATGGAGACGTTCTTGCAGCCGCGGACAGACAGGTGCTGGAGCGTGTGAATGCGCGGGCCGAGGACGCTCCCGACTAGGGCTATGCCTGTGACTGCTGTATTGCAGAGGTCTAGGCTGGTCAGCCGTGTGCCGTTGGGGGATATGATGTGTTTAAGGAGGGCGTCAAAAGAGTAGGCCTTGGACTGGCGCTCCCGGTTGTCGGGCGTCTCATTGCCTGGGGAGCCGACAGTGACGGCGGGCTGGGGCAGGCGAAAGGACAGCGTCTTCCATGCGAGCGGGTACTGGCGGAGGAAGTCGCGCAGATGACGCGAGGTGTGGTAGAGTTGGAGGAGGGTGGCGGTGGAGATTTGGGCGAGGAGCGATTCGAGGATGGGGGGGTAAGCGGTGACGATGGATTCGAAGAGGCTGAGCGAGGTGTCGTATGCAGCGGCGTGGGCCATTGCCGTGGGCGTGGGCGTGGTGGTGAGTGAGTCGCAGGTCCATACGGCCGCGTGGACGTGCTGCTGTTGCGTGGCCATGAGGGTGCCAGCCGCGACGGGGGGAAGAGAGAGAGTGCAGACAGAGACCCTCAAGGGATGTGGACATGCACAAGCGCAACGCGTGGGTCGTGTCGCGCAGGCGAGGATGGTCGTGTGAGTGAGGCGTGGGCGGGCCGTGGGTCAGTTAGTAGTCAGTAGTCAGTCGTAGTCGGTCGTCGGAAGAGCACACAAGCACACACACACGCACACAGGCTGCTTGACGGGCCAAGCATCGAAGGCGATCCTCTATCTCTGCCTCAGCAGCCAGCGGGTCCAGCTACGGTCAATTCGCCATGGACAGGTTGGAACACCGTCCCATGCCACCGCCGCCGCCTCTCTTGAATCCACACCAGCAACTGTTGGGCGCGCCAAGCACACGTCTTCTGCTGCATAATGGCATACATGGGCAGTCGGCCCTGCTGGCGCTGGTGGCGCGGCACATATACTACGGTGGGTTGGCGTAGCCAGCCCACCAGCCCTGCCACTGACTTGCATCCATTGTCTGCCAGCTCAACACCGAGTGTCTGGCTGGCTGTCTGCTTCAATCAGGCTTAGTGCCTTTGTTGCGTGACTACTAACTGTCCATGTGGCTGCGCAACGTTATGTATCTAAGTATGTCGAGTACGGTACGTGACATACATACATGTTCATCACCCCTCCGTCGCGCGCGCACACACCGCCTTTAGATGCTCCTACAAGGAAGCATGTAGTAGTATGTATTAATCACGGCCATGTCATGTCCACTATCGTCTAAATAAAGGCGCCAGCTCAAACCCAAAAACACAATCACTCCAAACACACTCGCTTGCACAATCAGAAACGCCAAGCCAAACCCACAACCCAGGTCACCACCCCTTGCGCCTAGCAACCCACGTGAGCCATGCCGTGGCCAGTAATCCTACAAAAAACAAAAGCCTCCATGACCTGCTGCGTTACCCAGGCCGGGCGCACGATGAAGTGGCACCCACTCGACACAATCGCCAGATAACCACCGCCTGCCTTCTGACAACCACCGCTCTGACCCCACTTTGCCACTGCCACTGCCGCCCCGACCGCCAGTAATCCCATCCATCCTACTGTACCTAGAACACCCAGTTGCCCTCCGTGTCTTGATCCTCCAATCCATCAAACAGCACGATATCCCAATCCACCATCGATCCTGTCCCACATCCCGATGTTGGCCACAGCGAATTGTGAGTAAACGAGAAGATGGGCAGACGATCGCCAGATGCCGTCGCATTCATCAGCTTCCCGGCGTCCGAGTCAATGTCGAACCCCGTCCGCACCGGCGGCTTTTGAAACTCCATCTCCACTGTCCCGAAAAATGGCAGCGTGTGTCGTGTGCTCCCCGTCGCCTGTCGGTTCGGATCCAACGACGATAGCATCTTCTTCAGTGCGATGGCACTGTGAGCTGCTATCTTTTCCCGTGCTCCTCCCGCCTTAGCCAGCTTCTCCATCTCGCCAATCAATCGGCATATCATGGCAAAATCTGTTCCCTTTGTGTGTTGCACCTCCATCTTGTCTTTTGAGCTCAGATCAATCACAATGTCCAACGTAAGCGTCACAGCCGCAATAAATACGGCCGTCTCCGCCATTCGACAGCACGCCTGCGTCATGTTGGCGTTTCGCAGTGCAAACCATCGCATCAAGAGGTTGCGACTTGCGTGCAGTGCTGTCACCTTGGAGTAGTCGTATCGCTTATCCTGTTGAGCTCGCAGTAAGTATGGCAGGTGAATAAACATCCGTGTCTCGAAGTGAAACATCTGCACGATCAGTCGCTCCAGTGCTGCTGACGATTCAGGCGATCGTGCTGTAGGCGGAATATTCGGCACCTCCCAAAACTCTTTTGGCATCTGTCGCATATACATCTCGAGCTTCTCATCCAGTTTAAGTGCTGCAGAGTACCCTTGCGGCGACACTTCGCGGTCCAGCTCCGCCACCTGCTGAGTGATGTCGTTGAGTTTCGCACGGTGTTGAAGATGCGAGTCCGCGTCCGCTGGCACTGGATAATTCTCCGCGCCAAAAGGAAGCCGAAGATGCAGAGACAAATACCGGTCCACATCAACAAAGCTACGCCATATGCCCTTTGCATTCGACACCGTCGGAATCGGTGGATTATGGTCTGGTTGCGCTATAATGCGTTGGAATCCCATGAGATGGGCCAGGTTGAGGCCGCGTCGAACCACCAGCCACGACTGCCTCAGTGATGCGTTAGTCAAGTGGTAGAATGCGAGTAGAAGCATCGTCTCAAGCCCGTGCAGTGTCATCATCTGTTCGTCTGACGAGGCAACAATAGATGTTACCGTTGCAATATAGCTCTGCATGGTTGCGTCCAAGTCGTGTATGCTTGACAGTCGCGATATCTCAAAGTCAGCCGGGAGTGAGTTGAGACAGATGGCCAAGTGCAGAAGCGTCCGAGCCACAATGATTGATCTTTCCTGAGCAACTGCTTGCATGTCGAGGGCGTATGACTGGATGTCTTTGCGCACATAGATTTCTTCCGACGCTCGATAAATGTTCTCGAGTATCATCCAGCCGTTCGATGACTCAAACACAATATCTGCGTCGCGTTGTGACGGCAGCAGAGCCACCAACGATCGATGGGCATGGTCATATACCTCAAGTGATTCTTTGCGCTCTTGCTTGTCCACAAGCGTTTGTATCGAAGGTGCCGAATTCCATGTTTGTGCACCGAGCTGCTACTGTCAGTGGGCCGTTTTCCAGCAACACATAGGGAACTCACAATGCCGTCTCCTATCGACGACTCGCTCCGCACATCGCTTGGCAAGCCTAACCTACACCATTTGCTAATCTTCTCGCCCGATCCTGACGCAATCAAGGGCGGACTTTGCAGGCCACTCGGTGTGGTATTCGTCGAACTCTTGCGACACACAAATCTTTCAAAGAGCTGCTCAAGCTTGCTCAGTCTTTCCGCCATATGCACTGAGCATGTACTCTCCTCATCTGCAGACCCTGAAAGACTTTGGTCCAAGCCAACCAATGATGGCATACTGGTTTGGCTTACATGTGCGTGAACCTTGCGTTTCTTGCCTATGGGAATGTCAGTACACAGCCTTAAACACACTAGTATATCATCTGCTATCCTACATTGCCAACAAGGCCGACGGGGGCTTTTGGATGTTCTTTTCCTAGAATGGTTACTCGTGTTGCTGGGCGTATCCATATTAGCTTCACAGAACATGCAATACTTGGGTTCTCTAATCTGTCTGTCGACACATCGTTTTGTAAAGGGTGCGACCTTACTTTCATAGCGGGGCGAAGGTAATGCGATGGCGATGGCGATGGCGGATGTGGAGCTGACAATTGGGGTGCCGGCCGCAATTCGTCCGCACTTAAGGGTCAGGCCGAGAATTATCCATGCTAATAGGGCGTCCACATCCGGCCCTTTTTTTGGTACCCGCATACCATCGTAGCCACTTTTACTTTGGCACACATGGTTGTCACGATGTCCTCATGGATGTAATTCGTTCTTGCATCTCTTGGCCCAGCTCATCGTCGTCTCCAGATTACAGAGCGAATCGATCTATCCGGATACAGAGAAAAAAAAACAAATGCGCTGTATTATTGATACCACGCCACGGATCACGCATCGATGGAGCGAGTAATCAGAGCGCGACCGCTGCTTAGATGCCCTATCTCCGCGATGCGCAACATCGACAGGGCGCACCAAAACTGACTGACGCTTATGCTACCGTGTCCTGGGCGATCGAACTTTCCCGGATCTAGTGTTCCCGTCTTGTCGCGTTGCTCTACTGTTTGGTCCATCTCATCGGTGATTATCATCCCTTTCCGACGTCCGTTGCCCGAGTAAAACTGCCCGGCAAGGACAAGTTTTGTTGCTACAAGGCTCCACGCAATACTGTTGTAGGAAACGTCGTACCTTTGAGGTCGTCTCCAACCGGTGGATGCATCTGACAAACGGGTACTTTGTCATTGGATCCTGCGATTGACGACATCGACTACGCGGGCGACGCGCAATAACTGAAGACGGACTATTACGGCGAGCGTAACCTAAGGATTCTCTGTAGAAACGCTAGCGCCAAAATTGATGCGTTATCCTCGCCACCCCGGTATCTGCATGTATGGGTGACTAGGGCGGAATGGGACTAAAATCGTTCGTTACCGACCAAAGGCGGAGGGTATGTGGAGGATCAAAGTGCGCAATTCGATTTTCGGCGTTGAAGAAGGCGTTCGACCCAATTTTTGATTCCCGTTGCCACAAAGAAGCACGTGGCCCGCTTTACGTGGGACAACGATGCCCGAACGCCTGGTTTTGAGATTCCGGACGTAAGCAGGTTTACGTTTATAGCCCGACCGAAACATGGGCATATGCATATGTATACAGGTAGCCCCGCTGGGTAATTTTTCATGTGATGATTGCCGATTCCTCGGGTACAGCGCTGAGTCTTATCAAACCCGCGCTGGCACAGTGATTATAGTCATGGATGAAAGTAAGGAACTCGTAAAAGCCATGTAGCTCTTTGGGAAGAGCTAAGGAGACGATGCAAGAAACGAATGAAAGCCACGCATAATCGAGCTGGGTAGTAAGCATGGATAACAAACAAAGTCTCACATCATCATTCGCAGATGGACAAGTGGGAAAGGGTTGCGCATGACTGCTATACTCTCCCAACCGTTGGGAGATAGCCAGTGTATCTTCTGTAGGCGCAGATGCTGACGGAGTCCGTAGGCGTACCCGTTATCGATTTTGTCAGCAGTCGTATTCACTATCTGCGGCGAATGCCTAACTCCGATGCAATGCAATCTGTATGGTGACCATCTCAGGCATACATGTCGTCATAATCCTCCTCGTCATCAGCGGGCGGCGGAGGGGGCTGCTTTTTCTTCAACAATTCTTTGCGATCAAGAGGGCACGTAGAGTTCAGCTTGAGCCACGGGCCTATGCAGTCGAGATCAAAGCGGTGATCGTCGTGACATGGAAGCTGAACCACAAGTGGATATTTGTCTATGCATGTCTTGGTCAACTGTGCTCCTTCCTGATGTGATATGCAGCCTACCTTCGAGGAAAGGGTTGACACATATTGGACATGTGTCGGAAGGGTTTAGTTTCTCCTTGGGCACCCTTTCCAATTCGTCCAGGAAGCTGTCGGGTACGCCCTTGAGTTCAGTGGGCGGATCATCGGCATTCTCGCGCAGGATCTCAATCATACTAGCCAACAAGTCTCCCTCTGCGTTGACCTCGTCCGCCGGTCGTCCGCGCATTATCTCGAAAGCATTCGCAAGCAAGCGGAATGCCGCTGCCATATTCTCGGGCTGGGGGAGAGCATTGGGGTTTGTGTGGGACCGTGGATCGGATGTGTCTACAAGCTCGAGCTGCGAAAAGAAGGTGGAGAGGTCTGGCCGGCGGCGAGGCTGCTGCGGCTTGTCATCCTTGGTGGATATATTGTGCTCGACTGCCTCTGGTTATTCTACCGACTGAGTTTCCGGACGAGCAGACTTACCCTCGTAGCCAGACATGGTGGCGATGGTTCCAATTGCGGTGGGTATATGGAGATTCTGGCCGATGCGCTCGCCAGTTCGGCTTATGGAGCTGTGCAAAACTACGCGTCACGGCGGCTGCCTTTAACGCGAACATGGGGAAGAGGCGACCCCGCTGTGGCTCGTGTGTGGCTCGTGTGTGGCGCAGTACATGTGGCGCATGCCATAGGCGATTCTTGGCTTGACGTCGCCTCTTTCCATTGGTACTTTCTGACACTGGACGAAACAGCTGTACTGTTCAATGGCCGCTTTCCAGTCCGAGTGGCGCCATGTCTCCATGTCCCCGGAGCAACAGGGAGATTGGGTGGCGAGTGATGGTGAGCCCCTGGCGGACAATCTGCGCATGAGTAGTATCGTTTCTGTGGGCATCTTAATTCAACGTTTCCTAGCACAATCCTAGCTTTGAGCTCATGTCCAAGCAATCAGATGGGCATCACCATCTTGACAGTCGGGTTGCAAGAGCTGACGAAAGCTTATGATCGACAAGCAAACCTTGGCCCTGCACCACAGTCAGGACAGGTCGAGACTGCATGATTGGGAGCGGCTGGTGTCAAGTCGGTGCAGATAACTGGGGCACAGTGGAGCCCGGTGATCCAGATCATGCACAGCCTCCTACTCCTAGTGCCCGCAGCGTCACACATACTTACCCCCTCCAAACGCATCATCGTAACATGCCGAAAGGGGCGCAGCCTTTTCACAGCGGCAACATTGATAAGTGAGCTGGATTCACAAAAAGGCGCGACAGCCGCTGTTCGCCTTTCAACGCCCAACCTGTTCGTCGCCAAAAACATTCGTTCTCATTGCACACACTCACCGCCTTGGCCAAAGTCCAACCTTGACGACAATTATACAATATTGAATATCCCTTTTAATAAATTTCCCGGCTCACTCTATGTCGCTGCTCATCATGTCAACCGATAACCCCTCTACCTTGAACAGATTATCGCCAGCCTGGATCTGTCGCCCACTCTCGCGGCGTTCAACATCGCCACAAAAAAGCATGAGCCCAACAACAGCAAACGGTTTTCTGGCGCCAGAACCAACACGAAGTAACAGCGACGAATCTCGCTCGCCACGCTCAAGCACTTCCGGTCGCCGTGGTTCAGTACGCGAAATAGTCAGCAGACTCCGCTCCTCATCAAGCACCAGCATGGCCAGCAACAAGTCACAGGACATTGACTTTAGCGAGGTAGAAAATTGGTTTCATGGCTTCCGAAAGTACAATCAGCTTGTCTGTAACATCATCTCGCCAAACCAAGCGTATCCATCGAAAGAATTCACAAAGGCATCCAAAGCCTTGTCCAAAAACTGCGGTGGCCAATTTATTCACGGCTTGCCCGAGGCTGTATTCGATTTCTCATTATTATGGTGCCCTGCAGGTCACTTGACTCGAAAAGATACGGGCGAACCAAGCTGGAGTTGGTCTGCATTCAGTGGCCCAGTGAATTTCCCCTTTGACCCTACGACCTGTCCAGACGTCTACAAGACGCCGCGTGGCGAGGGCGAGTGGTTTCGCTCCGAAGTCTTGAACTACCACATTGGACCCGAATCCGCACAGTATACCGTACGACGCGAAAAGGGCAGCAGCTCGCTCCGTATCAAATACCCACCTTATTTTCACGCTCCACGGGGCTCAGATCACAAGACGAATTCCAACACTTTGCGCTTCACCGCATCGACAATCTCCGCGGATGGCTTTAGCGCAGAGCAGCTCGACCACGAGGGCAAGCAAATTCCCTGTTCGCACCTCATCAACGAAGACGACCAGCACTGCGGTGTAATTATGGACTACGAATCTTCCATTTCCCAACCATCGTCCACAGGGCCCTACGAGTTCATCATGCTCTCGCGCAATCTATGGCGCAAACCGTGTCCTGAGAACCGCAAACCTGCTGGTCTCAATACCATGCATCCGCCTGGTACCCCCATCTGGGCTGAGGACCATTTCCTGTGGGACAAGGAGGTCGATGATTTTGCGGCCGAGCAGTTTGAAGCTGGACCTTGGAAAATGCTCAATGTTATGCTGATTAAGTGGGTGGGTGAGCATGCTGAGCGGGTGGCTGTGGCAAGGATACACGAGGACGCGTGGACTCGACGGAGCCCAGTCAAGAAGGACATTGTGCTCCGGTAAAGATTTCCTTTTCGTTTCTCTTTTCTTGGACATGCTCTGTTTTGTAAATGGGGCTTTTTGTATTTCTCTGCTTAACTAAAACGTGACGATACCCCTCTCTATAAGCTTGAAAATTAATCATACCATTCTGTTCCCAGACAATGCATATGATCCCACTAAGTGAAGTGCTGCAAGAATGGAATACTTTCTACTGGATCATATCAAAGCATTAAACTGATACACGAAGTGACCAGAAATCTGACTTCTATTTTCTAGCCCTTCCATAGTGATTACACTTTTTTCTTGAATTGCCTTGATACCGCGAGCCTTGCAAAGAGGACACACAGTGCAGATACTGTTGCCGTACCGCCAGCATAGAAGATAGCTGGGCGGTAAACATCAATACTCTGACCCGCGGCATTATCCTTTCCCCCACCTGCGGCTTGTAAAAGATAACCAGTAATGGGTGCACCCATGAGATAACCGCCCGTCCAGCCTGTCACAGACATGCTCATGGCAACGGCCGCGCGGCCAGGACCAAAGATGCCAGCGACGACAGTGGGCTGAGTGGTAAAGTAAGCACCATTGGCGACTCCGTTTATAATGGCGAACAAGACGAGGGGACCCAAGGTACTCGAGACAGGCCAGATAGCCAGCATGCTCGCGGCATTTAGTGCCATAGTAATGACAAACATGTTGAGCGGCCCCAACTTATCGCACAACGGCCCAGCAATAAAACGGCCAATAGCACTGCAAGCGTTAAAAGCAGAGACCAAGCCCGCACCCGTCGTAGGACTAAGGCCAATCGACTGCGCAAACAGCGGTAGATAGTAATTCGGGACAAAGAGCGCAAAAACACCAATAGCACTCGCAACAAACGTAGCGATAAACGTACCGCTCCGAAACATGCTCACATCCACAAACGGCACATTCCGCAACGGTACTCGATCCTTGAGCATGCCTGCCGCCGGTAATCCCAAAGCCAGCGTAAGCAAACCCTGGATACGAAACGTCCACGCAATCCCCACACGTCTGTACAGCGCCTCCAACGCAAGCGCCATGACACATCCACCTATCCCACCGCCCAGCTTGATAAGCCCATTGGCGAGCCCCAGGCGCGCGCTAAAGTACTGTACAGGCAGCGTGTTAGCAACGGCATACACCATAGCCATGCCCACGCCCCCAACAACCCCATATGTGCCGAACAAGCCCGCTAGATTCTTGGTACAGAAACTGGCGCCGATAAGGCTCAGCGACATGAGAGTTATGCCGAGTAGAATGGTGGTTTGGCAGCCGACGTGCCGCATCAGGCGTATGGCGAGCAGGCCGTAGAGAGCGCCGCCCGCGAGACCGAGGGAGCCGACGTAGGCGAGAGTCGAAGGAGGCACGGTTTGAAGGGTTGAGTTGAGGAGGGCGGCTTGGAGGACGCCCCAGCAGTTTATGATGCCGTTGTGGCAGAAGGTTGTTATGGAGCATCCTAGCACGATGATCCAGCCGTAACCGCCGTCCGGGATGGCGGATACGGAGTATGCTGCGTGTTCAGGGGCTTCATCGGGGGTTTGGGTGAAGGATATGGGAGGGTGGAGCGAGGGTTTTGTTAGAGGGGGTTTGAGAGTGGTTGTGTTTGGCGGTCGTATGGGCGTTAATTCGATGTGGTCTTCGAAGCTTGTAGTTGTGGTTGTGGTAGCCATTGCGTAGGTAGTAATAACTTTATTTCATTTTTGCTTCTGTGTTACGAGGAGAGGGACTGTATTAAACCATGCCCGGCTATTATGAAGCGATACCTTTTCCTTTAAATGAACATATTGCGGGAATCTTTGAACATTGCTTCAACGGTAACATACAGTTTACCACCGGAAAGCGCTAGAGCACGCCCTTTGACCCCTCTTTTGGATAGCCAGATGTCAATATTACCTTAACGAGTCACATTGGTCTAGGAAGCTAGCAATCCCAACAAATTATTTATTCTATCACGTGCCAGTACTTTGTATTCGAGATGATTTCGCGTCAAAGGCGTTAAGCGGGGGACGGAGTGCGGGGAAAGGACTGTACGCATTGCACCTGAGCTTTGCTAGTCATTCAATGTGCTGCAGGGTCCAGGCCCTAAATTCCATACACGAAATCCCCACTTTACACCTCATTGATCTTCACGCCAGCTTACAATGTTGGAAGCAACGTGAGAAAGCAGGTTTACGCAACCAGACCCGAGTTTCAGGGCCGTTCTTGGCAATCTACGTACCGCCCCCTCTCTTGCTATACATACTTGATTCAATGGTACCCCAAAACACCTTTGATATCTAATCTTCTTCCTACCAATTCCCTTAACCAAATCACACCAAAGATTTTTTTTCAACCTTGAACCCAGTAGAGCAGAAACAAAAAGTCAACAATGGCAACTGAAGATACTGTGCACCTCTCCGAACCCCACGCCCCGCATCAAGCCTCCATCGACGCTTTCTCCTCCATCCTTGAAGAAGTAAAAGCGGAACTCGTCAAGTTGCGTCATGATCATGATAGTAAAACCTCCTCTTTTTATTTTCCTCAAAAAATCCCCCTAAAACCATCTTATCCAATCAATCATTCCTCCAAGAAGAAAAATATAACAACATACTCACAAATCACCTCTTCGTTCAAAAAACATAACAATCTAACATCACACACCACCCACAGAACACGAACCCGAATACTTCACCAGAGTCCACCACCTCTCCGACACCCAACTAACTTCCTTCTCCGTCTCGGACCTAGAAACCGTCCGCGCCGCCACATCCGCCTACGGCATCCATCTCTTTGGCAAAGTCAAGCTGCCCGCACTGGACGACGGATACATCCACATACGCATCTTCGGGGCGGCAAAAGAAGGCACAGACGGAAGTAGTGCAGAGGAGCGGGTGTACAGTTTACATAGTATACATACGGAGGAGATGGTGAAAGAGGATGGGGATCGAGTGTATCGGGCGGTGTTTGGCAAGGAAGACGCGTTGGAGTGGTTTGATACGTAAAGGGGGGGAGGAGAGGATGTTGCACTGAACTGGATGAGGAAGAAAGACATGTGGGTGTATGTGTGGTTGGTGGGAAAGAGAGTTGAAACGTCATGATCATTTCATTCTACATAAAAATAATAAAAACGCCGGAAAGGTTTAGTATGAGTCGCCGAAGAATTGGCTGGCAAGGGTGATGTCTTTGTCGCCGTTGGCAAAGTCCCAGCCTACAATCGTGGGGTCTTGACTGCAGCAGATGATTCTACGTGCGTCAAATTGGAGTTTGAACACTCGCGAGTTTGTCCCGTTTGTGTTGAGGGGCGCAGCCAGTGGGTGTGGAGCGTGGTGATGGTGATGGTGATGGTGGTGATGATGCGGTTGCGCATTTGCTGGACCTTGCTGTCCGACTGCTGCATGATTGACTGGCTGGTTGGGCGCTATGGCAGACCCGGCTGTGATGTTACCCACAGCGATGTTGTTGCCAATTGGGCCATGCATAGCTTGTGAGGCTGCATGAAGAGCATGTGCTTGTTGTGCCAGAGTCTGAGCTGCTTGGGCTTGTGCCTGAGCCTGCTGTGCCAGCGTCTGGAAATTGTTTTGTTGGGCGGCATTGGGTTGCTGATTATTATGTTGTCCCGCAGCATTTGCGTTGGCTGCAGGTTGAACGACAGGCCTCCTAGGTCGGCCGCCCGCGGCTCGAACTGCGTCGTTTTGAAGCAATGTCTGAGACTTTTCCCAAGCTCCATCAGGCCCTCTCTTCCAAATAATCACAGTCTCATCATAAGATCCAGATACTATGCGCGCCCATTTGCTGCCTCCACCACCTGGAGGTAATTTGGCCCCGTAGGCAAAGACTTTGGTTGGGTCGCGTGACCCAGCATTGCGAGCGCGTCGCTCCGCTCTACTGAGGTTTTGTTCAGACAGCATGCCGCTAGCTTGCGCAGCGAAGTAGTTTCGATCCACAGTACGAGCCTCAGCTTCTAGTTCTTCCTCGTTGCCAGGTAAGTCTCCGAACTGGGCTTGTACGGTGCGCACAAGATTACTGTGGCCGTTCAAGCAGGCGACCTCGGCGCCGGTAGCACGATCAAATATACGCACGCTCTCATCCGAACTTCCACTGACGATGCGTCGCCCATCAAACTGGACGCAAGCAATTCCCTTTGTATGGCCAGAAAAGGTTCGTGTGCACGCACCGGTCCGGACATCCCAGCATTTGACGCTTCTATCGCCGGATGCAGAGACAATTTGTCCATCGAGAATCTGAATGGCATTCACTGCTGCACCGTGGCCTTCTAAGGTCATGATGAGACTATAAGGGGCAAGAGGCTTAAGGTGCAGATGCTGCTGAGCGACGTAATCCTGCATGTTGATTATATATGATGGAAATTTGGCGGCGGATTTCATGGTTGATGAAGGATAGGTGTCATCGGTGGGCATCATTTCCTTGCGATTCCAGACTTTGATGGTCTTGTCTTTTGAGCAAGTAACCAGGTAGCGGTCATCGAACCTGAGATTCAGGACTGACTCTGAGTGAGCCTTTTCAATTTCCTTGATGATGCGTCCAGTTGAAAACCGCCACAGAATGACTCTGCAATCACTGCCACCAGACACTATAATGTCTTGATCGGGTCGCTCGTCAAACTGTAAACAGAGAACTGAAGCCGAGTGGCCAATAAGCGGTGGGTGCACTAGGCGCAGAGTATCCAGGTTCCAGACTCTGATGGTTTTGTCTCGACTCCCACTTACAAGATACTTGCCCGAATACTGAATGGTATAAACACATTCAGTATGGGCTTCTTCTGGGTGGTTAGGGTGTGGGAGTTGAAAGTTTGTAAATCGGCCAGCGCTCCAGTTGTCTTCCAATCGCCTCTTTTGCTTGTATAGAAATTGCCAGTTGATCTTAGCTTCTAGGCCAGGAAGAAGAAGCGATGGATGTATTGGGGGGCCATTGGAGACTGCTGAAGTTGTCGAGGATGTGGTGTCTTCGGAGGGTAGGCCTTGGCGCCTTTCCCGGCGTAGTGCATTGGTAGGCGAGGCGAGAGGCGAGGTGCCGTGGAACGACAGGCCTTCCATCTTGTCCTCCGATTTGACAGGACTGTCGTCGGCCTCGACTGCACCATGCTGCTCGCCCCATGCGTTTCCGGTAGGGCGACCAGCAGAGGAGTCGACTGCATTTTGTGCTCCGTTGTCTGGCAGAGTGCCGTCGCCGAAAAGCTGTTGATTCCGCACGCGCTTCTTATGGAACGGCTTTCCGTAATCGGTATCTTCGGCTGCTCTATGTCGTGTCTTGCGCTCCTTTTCCTTGAAATCCGCGCGCTTCTGCCTTTGCGACTCTTCAAACGCACGCACCTGGGAGAAGTTTGAGTTCCAGCCCTCGAGCCTGAAGAGTAGTTTCCAGAGAGGACTGTCAAGCACGCGTTCCCTCCATGCGCGTGACAATGTGGATGCGCGCAGCAGAGTTTCTGGGCTGAGGTAGGAGAGGATCTGGAAGGTGATTTCAGGCGGTAGGTGTATGACGGGATCGAGATGGAGAAGGGGGTTCAGCTTCTCGACGATGCCGGCTATGGACGAGGTGCGTAGCGAGCGCAAGATGGCGTAGGCGAACTCTAGAATAGAATGTTAGCATTGATTTGGGTGAACTGCACAGTCACAGTGACAGACTTACCACTACGCTCATTTTCGCTCAGAGCCAGAACCCAGTCAGGCAGGCTGAAGGGCAGGTCGGGATTGCGATGGGACTCGCCGAGCCTCAGGTCGGTCTGCATAACCATGTCGCCCTCATTCTGGCTCCTGGTATCTTCCGAGTAACCCTCGTCGAAACGGTTGGCGCTCATGGAGGAGGCGGGACGGAAAGGATGCATGTAGGGTGGGCCGGAAAATTGGACGTTGGCGTTGGCCAGAGGGCCTGCCATTGTGGTGCGCGCGCGAGCGGCGGGTGACGTGTGGGTTGGGCGAGTGGAGACGGGTACGGGCTCGGGCTAGTGGGTAGGCGATGGTATGGGTGATGGGCAAGAGGCTGTGCACGAGTATGTATGTGGATATGGATGGATGTGTTCGGAGGGCAGGCAGATGAGGTTCTGTTCAGGCATGCGGGTTGAGGGGGCTGCAGGTGCTGGGGCGCAGTGTTGCCTGGCGGGCTTTGTGATGGTAGCGAGATGGGGCGGGTGGCGAGATGACTAAAGCGAGGAGGATGCGAGGATGAATGGCAGAAAGGCTACATGTCACGGATAGTAGATGGATGGCGGATGCAGAGTTGAAGGTCGCGTTGAAGCGTCAACGGTGCTCAGCCGCGCCTCGACAGGCACATGTCGTTTGTTGCGGCAACCATCAGGGCGGCCGTGCACAGAACCGCATTCACTCTTGATCTGCGGCTAGCCTTGGGCCTAGGCGCATGCGGTATCCGGATGGTGCGGCGACATGGCTCGGCTGTGAGACATCAGATGCACGCCCACGCTAGAATCAGGGCCATGGAGCAGCACTAGAAGCTTGCGGCCAGCCTTATCTGCGCCTGGCGGCCATGGTGGGAGTGCGAGCGGGAGCGTGGGGAATTGGGGATGTGGTTAGTGGGGGGGGGGGGAGCAGGGAGAGGGAGAGGGAGAGGGAGAGGCATTGAGCAGTCTGACGTCGGGACAAGCACGGCAGAAGGATAAGGATATTATTTTAATAATGGGATAGTAGTATGTGTCTGAGGAAATGAAAGAAGAGGGACAAGGAGAAGAAGAAGAACAGCGTGCAGTGTCATTCGGAGAAGATGTGCCGGTGCCGAACTCGATTGCAAGGTACTGTTGGCCGGTGATGGTGAAGAAGAAAGGGGTGCAAGTGCTGTGTACTAGTACTGTATGTAGTCTAGAGTCGGCTATGGAACGCGCTGTGCATAGACGAGACGACGGCGAGGGCATCGTCATCGTGGTCAGCGAGTGCGGCAGAGTGCATATACTTGGAGAGTAAGTATAGTAGTAAAGTGATATGTAAAGTATGTAATAAGGCGGTGGGTGGCGGCCCAAGGCACACCCCCTTCTGCCGGCAGAACAGCGCTCACAGACGGGGGCCTGTCGTCGCAAGGGAAGGGCGGCGCCTCGTCGATCCACTCATTTCCACGGCACACATGGTGATGAAGCACCCTCTGCCACGCCCGCCCGCCTGACTCACGGCGGCTCGCCCTGTGGGCAATGGGTGGGCAATGCCCAACCGACGACTCCTGTCATACCCATACGCCTGCTTACACGGCGGGCTCTGTATGTGCCATGTACTCTACCCACCCATCCACCCATCACACACATACACTACCACGACATGGCAGACGCAATGTATCGACATGCACGTCACGTGTCGTTCTGCCGGCCCGGGTGAAACAGCCAACGCGCCCCCTTTGAGCGGCGGGCGGGCATGCCACACAGGCGGCATCCTCGAGGCCTTTCCCAGACACACACATGCCTTCTCCTCCTCCTCTTCTCTTCTCTTCTCCTCTCTGTAACATTCACACGCGCTCGCACATCCACTCCCCCCTCCCCATTGCCACCCCGTCACCTGCAGACTCCCGTAAAAGCCGGAGCTGCAGCCCTGTGCCCAAGAGCCGCCATTTTGCATGCTGGCCGTCGGCCGCACGACCCCCCTAGCCCTTGGCCGCCCCGTGTGAGGTTTAGCTGGCAGCGACCCTGACCGCCTAGGGAGCCTAGCGCCTGGTGCAAGGAGATCCATGAAAGCAGTATGGAGGGCGGACTATCGTTTCACTCGGGTCTGGTGAGAGCCCATACCACCTATACCGTCTCCCATCCTCCACCACCACCGTCGCCGTCGCCAACCACGCAGACAGCACACGCCCGGATGACCTCGACCGGGCCGCCTGCCCTCATGTCGCACCAGAGCTTCCAGAGCACCTACTCGACCTACTCGCACAGCAGTGCGCGCGACACTCAGAGCACCCAGGCCACCTCCACCTCGACCCTCTTTGGGCCCCCCTCAACCTTCCCCCCCTCGACCTCGTCCACGCCCGTCAACGGCGGTCCTGTCGAAGCCTCGGA